CCCCCCCCCCCCCTACCTACCTACCTACCTTCCACTCTTACCTTTCCTTGCTCTGCCCATCAGAGGCCTAACTTAGAGGCCGCAGCTGCCACAGAACCAGTCCAAGTATCTGCACGCTTTTGTGGCTTCCAAGTTCCCAATGTTCTTTCGGGTTGATTTGGAAAAGGAGGGATTAGACCCGGTTGATGCGTAGATATCCTGATTGCCGCCTTTCAAGGCCTGACGATTTCGAGTTTGACTGCCTTTCCCGTCTTGGTCAAATTTGACTTTCGGTGCACTCCTGAATGCGCCCCATTAGGCTCCCGGGAGGGGTTTTTGGCGTCTGACATTGCATTTCTGTGTGTTTCCTTTTCTCCCGATGCTGGCTTGGCTGAGTCGACCTCATTCACACACCCGTGCTCATTCTTTCCCCTAGCTTCTTAATCAAGTGCAGCAGGGCAGCAGATTGCTGTACTGAGAGGTCTTAAGATCGTCTCGATCGAGCATGACCCTTTCCTCTGTACTGTCATAGATGTGCCTCCCCAGGAGGAGCATGATCGGTTGGTCTTCTTTTCTTTCCCACGATCCACCCTAGTGTATTTGTCCCTTCAAGGTTCCTCTTTCACCTTTCCCTTTTCGCCTCGAGTCCGATCCTCCGTTGTTTGCTTTACCCCCGTATCTGGTCGTCTTACACGTCCGGGTTGAAGCATGCCCGAACACGGTGTCACGTCCTATCGTCCTATCGCGCCCAAGGCAGCCAAGGAAGATGAGGCTCGAGACCCTCCCCCGGCTCCCGAGAGTGGAAAGACACGGCGAGCGTCTACCGCGTGCCTTGAGTGCCAGCGGCTGCGCACAAGGGTAAGGTACCGTTTTGGTTTCGAAAAAGAGTATCACTGTCCAAGCCCCTCTTGATGAACCTTCTGATCTCCATCCTGACTCGACCTCACCTCTGCATTAGTCTGACCTGAGAAACCCCGTTGCAGTGCACCATAAAAGATACGGGAATGCCTTGCACCCAGTGCCGTGTTCACGGTCGTTCTTGCGAGGTCAATGAGTCCAAAGACAAGCGCCGCAAGGCCGAACAAAAGCGCACCGAGGAACTCCTGAGGGTCTATAAGAGCCTGATAAATGGCTTGATGGAGACCATACGAATCGGAGACGGGGAGCTAACCCGGGAAGTCCTGTCTAGGATGAGGCAGCCCACTGGGCTCATCGAGCTTCAAGACCTTCTTAGCGAGTATGTGACGCTCTCTGTACCTGAGGAGGAGGAAGAGGAGGAGGGCGAGGACGAGGTGATGTATGAGCTCGAAAGCGACGAGTCCGATGAAGAGTCAGACACCAACTCTCCCGAGACCCCGCCGATAAACCAACAAAACCTCTAGGGTTAGCCTAAGCTCGCTAGGAAGTCGCTCGTTTCATGCAGCAACAGTTCTTGACATTGACGATGACGATGATGATGACGGCCGGCCTTCATTTCTGATCTTCACATCCCGACCACGGCCCATCGCACATGGCTTGCACTCCGGTGCCCTTGTGCGGTGGAGACCCGCTACATTTGTTGGGCCTGGGCCTGCATCAAACAGGCGAAGCAGGAAGCATCGGGGATGAACTTTTCCCGGTGCCTTGTCTTTTGTCCGTTGCGGCACGACCTGGAACAGAGAATGGGAGACACAACCGGGTTGGATGAGTTGAGCAGAATGGGAGGATCCCTGTTGCGAGGGAAGTTGCTTGGAATATAGTGGGCGTGCGGGCATGTATTTTGAAGCGGAATTTGATGTTCTCATGTTGGTTCCCACCAGCTCCCGTGCAATTTCGAGCCGATGCCCAATAAGTTGCTCTTGCGCGGATAACCCGTGACGTTGCCACTTCCGGTTCTAATTGCGTTCTTCTCCCTAGAATGGTTCTGCGTCGGTAGTTTCTCAATGACCGAATTATAGCTTTGTATTCTCTGCAGGGTCTTCGGATGATCTGGGACATCTGGGAAGATCAGTTGGACGTGAAGCGTGTCTTCATGGTATGCAGATAGATTTTGTATTGCACAGCCCATGTAGATTTAAGCTCTTTGGTTGATCTACAGTATATCTAGTAGTTAGGAGTATCTATTCAGACTTGCTCTATGCAGTTGACTCATCAACTCATCATGAGAGGCGATATTTTATCAGCATCTGCATCTGTACGAAATTTCCTTACTTGGCTGTCTCTGATGCCCTGTACTGTCTGTATTGTACTGTACGTTCAGTAGGGGGAATGACCGATTGACACCAAAGAAGATGTTTGTTATGTTTGGGTCCAATTCCTTCGCCCCCCCCGCTTTTGGGAAATCCGGATTAGACTCACGATTTCCCCGCTCCTCTCGCCATCCCCGGAAATTTCTCCCTTCCACTAAAATGACACTGACTGCACTGCATCTCTCCATGATATGATTACTACTTACTAGGTACCTTACCTACTACCTACGTATTCTCCTCCTCCTTTCTGTGGTACCACCTCTCTCGTTAATCCCCCCACCCCCAGCCAACCAGCCTCGAAATCCGGGATATGTCCATATGGCTGCCACTGTTGTCGCTGCGGTGGACAGTGTGTCGTCATCGGAGGACCCAGTACCACTAAGAGTCGTCGGTGACAGTCACCGTCGGGCTCGGGCTCGGGCTCGGGCTCGGTCTCGGTCTCGATCTAGGTCTCGATCTAGTGCCAATGGCCGAGATATACTTGCTGCAAAACGACCGAGAAGGTCCTCCGAGTCCTCCTCATCTATACTCAAATCCAACACTCCCCGGCAAAAGATTACCCGGGCCTGCGATCATTGCAAGGAAAAGAAGACTCGCTGTACGGGAACCATTCCCTGCGTAAGGTGTACCCGGCTGTCGCTGGTATGCGAATACAATGCCGCCTACTCACGAGGTCTTCCCCCCGAGCCCCTGCCTGCTTCATCTGGCGAGCAGCTCGGAGACACTCATGCGGTCCACGGTCCGAGAACACGGCGCTCACATCCAACCGCACACTCATTGTCACGCATTGGATCGGCCTCTCACCAAGATGTGTATGATCGCAACCGCAGCAACAATAACAACATCTCTCAGCGCAACTCACCGGACCCCGCCGTGACCGATCTGGAAGGTAACTATCTAGGACCGGCCTCAGGCTTGTCCTTCCTCAATCGCGTCTGGCGTCGTTTACATCAGGATGAGAAACGAGCGGTTCCCGATGCACTACAGAATGAATCTCCATCCAAGAATACCTCGGTGTTCAAGTTTGGGGATAAACCGTACGCGGCCCATCGCGACGTTGGATCCACACTGCCCCCGTATGAGAAGGCTCGGGAGCTGGTCAATACCTACTTCGACTTGTCCATGGTCACATATCGGTTCTTGCATCGCGGGAGTGTGGATCAATGGCTGCAGCAGGTGTATGAATGTAATCATTCTGTGTCCAACCCCCCAACGGGGCGCATGGTAGCGCGAATAGCCATAATCTTCATGATCTTCGCTGTGGGCACTTTGTACGAGGAGCAAGACCCAGATAGTCAGATAGATAGACAGCATGGAAGGTGAGTGTGCTTTGCCTCCACGGCCTTGGACCATTTTGCAGGCTGATATAATCGCAGCGAGCAGTGGTATGCGGCCTCCAAATCTATGACCGCCCTGGAGTCTGGAGCTCCGCGTCTGGAATCAGTGCAGGCGCGACTGGGCCAATGTTTCTATCTACTCTCTTCCTCCAGGGCCAACGAGTGCTGGTACTCCTTCGGGACAGCCCTCCAGCTGGTGACGGCGCTGGGTTTGCACCGACGGCACCGAGGCAAAGTCCCCCGCGATGGCAATTCCTATCTCGACCGGGAGCTTCGGAAGCGCCTGTTCTGGAGCACTTATACTTTGGATAAATATCTCAGCGTCATGTTTGGGAGGCCTCGTCTGCTTCATGATGAGGACATTGATCATGAGCTGCCTGATGAAGTCCACGATGAAGACATGTTGGAAGAATATTCATCGACCAGACCAGGGGTTGGGGATTGTATGATGACCGCCTCCCTTCTCCACTATAGGTATGCCTGGATCTGTTCCTTGGTGCTTGACAGTAGTGATTAACTGCATAGACTGGGTCGTATTCTTGGTGAGATCTCGCGACAGTTGTATACAATCAGCCCTCTATCGCGAGATGCGTCACTTGAGACGGTTGTACGCCTCATGACGAAGCTTGAAAACTGGAAAGCAGCCACCCCTCCACTTTTCAATAGTGTTCGGGCCACGAGCCTGATCCCTCCACTATGTAGGCAGAGTCAGGTTCTGCAGTTGGCTTACTCACACGCGGTGATTCATACGACCCGGTCGTTTCTGCTGAACGATTTTACGGATCTGAACCGCACGCCACAGATCCCCCATCCTACGGTGACTCACCACGTGCTCAAGTGCATCGAGGCTGCCGAGCAAGCCATGGGGTTAGTGGATAGCTTAGCGAAACAAAGGGTCCTGATACAATCGTTCTGGTTTACCCACTACGTGTGCTTCTGCGCCATCATTGTGGTGTACATATATACAATCCAACAGCATCGATTATCTACTACCTTTGGGATATCCTCCCCCGGGATCGAGGATGTCCACCATCTCTACTCCCTTTTCAGCCTGGCGGAAACCTGCCAGCAGCATCTGGCAGAGGCCACCCGGAGGAATTCACCCAGTCGTCGCTACAGCATCATTCTGGAAGAGCTGAGGCGAGAAGTCCGTAGGCGGATTGGCTCATCCAGCGATACCTCCGAGGGGTTTCGCGCTGTCTTCTTTCAGGGCCAGAATCCAAGCACACTGGCGGAGCAAGGACAGTTGAGCCTGACTAGTATATATACTTCTGGACCCCTGGAGGCTGGCTCCTATGATTATCCGAGTGGACTACCGCTGACCAATTTCACACCGTCGCCTTTGGAGTCGGAGATAGACCTGAGTTTTCTGGATAGCTTGGACGGTTCACTCCTGTGGACGCAGATTGACTCCTGGGTAAGTGATATCGTTGTGGTTGGATTTTGACCCGGAGAGACTGACTGAATGCTTCTTGCTTAGGCATTCACAAATCTGAGTAACGATCCGCCGACATTCCCTATGTAGCGACTCGATCATGATGTCTTGGGAATGCTGCATGCCTGGCCAGGCTCTTTTGACTGATCTAATGACATGAAATGACCACACGACTTGGGATGACTTGTATCTTATTGGACTCTCCTCTGGCGTATTCTTCCTCCCTGTGCTGTATTGCCCGCTCGTTCGAGTTGCCCCGGGCAGTTGTTTCGTTGTTGTAGATGCACGAGGCCGATGATGAAGATCCACTGCCTTAGCTGGTTATGATTGTTAGGCTACATGTGATACGCAGTGCCGCCTCCATTGCTGGTACTAACAGACAGACAGACAGACAGATAGACTAAAATTGGTAATGGGCTCGGAATTGAGCTATTCGAAACGATGGAGTGCCATGCAAGCATGCAGTCGAGCTCGGAGAAATATCCGGGCTGGCCGGATATCCATGCCTCTCTCCACCAACACCAGAGAGTGCATGACGGAACCCTTCTACCATGCGACTTAGGCGGTCCGGATTGTTCGCAGGAACGATACATATAAAAGCTGGAGTCTCATCAATCTGTTCAGAGACATATTCCTCCTCATTGAGCGCAGAATCACTGCTTTCTTGACCAAAATGCTTTCTGCAATACTCCCGCAAGCGCCTTCTTTGCGGGCACCTCTCGCAAAGGACGATCATGTCCCCCTTCAATTATCACAGCGAGAGCCCTTGACTCTCGACGAACTTGTCCGCCAACGTGCATCTCTGGGTGATTCAAAGCCTGTCATTTCCTACCCACACAACGGCATCGAGTATGTGGATTATCCCCTGCACGAACTGGATGTCTACGCCTTCCGCGTTGCCCAAGTATTGGCCAAAAGTATTCCGCCTCGGAAATCCTCCGCAGAGACTCCCACCGTCATGTCTCTACTCGGTCCTTCGGACCTTAACTACCTTGTCATGCTCCTGGCGCTGGCCAAACTCGGACATCCCGGTCTGCTGCTGTCCACGCGGATATCGATCGACGCCTATGTGTCCTTGCTGGAAAGAACACAGTCGAGGCACATTTTCATCCACTCATCCTTCGGAGATACAGCCGAAGAGATCAGGAAGCGCGTTCCTGACTTGCTCATCGATGAAATCCCGACTGAGGAATGCTACAACTTTCCAATCCCGGACGAAGAAATTGACACCAACCTGACGCCATCTCTGGATCCTGTTGCGGAGTCCAAACATATCGCATGGATTATCCACTCCAGTGGCTCGACGGGCCTCCCGAAGCCCATCTTCCACACCCATCAAGCTGCCTTGAAGAATTATGCGGGCCATATGAACATGTGCGGGTTTGTGACGCTGCCGCTGTATCACAACCACGGGATTAGCTGCCTGTTCCGCACGATTCATGCCAGCAAGCAGTTGCATCTCTACAACGCTAAGTTGCCGCTGACGAGGCAGTATCTTCTTGATATCATGGAGTCTCATGACTTTGAGATCTTCTATGGTGTCCCCTATGCTCTCAAGCTGCTCGCGGAGACCCCCGAGGGTATCGCTGCGCTTGCAAGGTTCAAGGCGGTTATGTTCGGCGGGTCAGCTTGTCCGGACTCACTGGGAAACCTCCTGGTTGAGAATGGAGTACATCTCATCAGTCACTATGGATCGTAAGTACTTCTTCTGTGGTTGATTAATGAAAGCGTGCTGACAAGGATCGCAGGACAGAGACCGGCCAGTTGATGATGTCTACAAGACCTCGGGATGACAAAGGGTGGGACTGGCTTCGTCCGTCGGAGACGGTGCAGAAGTATCTGCAATTCGAGGAGCGGTTCCCGGGGGTGTTCGAGCTTATTTGTCTGGACGGCTGGCCTTCGAAGGTCATGTCCAACCGCCCGGATGGCTCGTATGCCACCAAGGATCTGTTCGTGAAGCATCCCACCATGACCGCATACAAGTACTATGCCCGGCTGGACGACACACTCGTCCTTGTGAACGGCGAGAAGGTGAACCCGCTTGACCTCGAGGGACGCGTCCGGCAGAATAGTGCAGTGAGTGAGGCTATTGTCTTCGGGGCGGGCAAGGCCTGCATCGGGCTCGCGGTAGTCCGTGCCCCTGACTCTCAGTCTCTGTCTGACGAGAAGATCGTGGAAGCGATATGGCCCGCTGTCGAGAAAGCCCACGAATCCATGCCTGCGTTCGGTCAGCTGTCCAAGAGTATGGTGCGTGTCTTGCCGGCGGATGCAAAATATCCTCGCACGGACAAGGGAACTGTTATCAGACAGGGCTTCTACCGGGAATACGAACGTCTGATTGAAGAGGCCTACGAGGCCGAAGACGCCATGAGTGGGACCCTGAGACTGTCGGAGGCAGAGCTCCGGTCGTTCCTCAGGGAGCAGCTCGCGGATCTTCTCCCACTCAAGAGTCAAGGTCTGTTGACCGACGATGCGGACTTCTTTGCTCTGGGAATGGACTCGTTGCAAGCCACGCAGCTACGCTCGGTGATTTTGAGAGAGATCGATACGAATGGACAGAAGCTGGGGCTCAATATCGCCTTTGAGCAGCCGAGCATCCGCTTGCTGGCTCGGTATCTTGCTAACCTCAAGACTGGCGTGACGGATGATGGTGAATCGATTGTTGAGCAGATGCAGGGCATGATTGAAAAGTATAGCCACTTTGAGGAGCATGTGCCGTGTGCAAATGACCTGGACGGGCAGTACGTTGTAAGTCGCGTTCAATTGCTGTTAGAGATGAGTTTTCTGGTTCGCTAACTCCATCCAGCTCGTCACTGGCGCCACTGGGTCTCTGGGAAGCCATGTTGTGGCCCAGCTTGCAGCCAACCCCGAGGTCAAGAAGATCTACTGCCTCATCCGCGCCGCCTCCCCCATCGACGCCTACACCCGGCTTCACCAATCCCTCACCACGCGCCTCCTCTACGCCTCCCTGACCCCCGAGGCGCGCAGCAAACTCATCGCCCTCCCCTCCAGCCTCGGCGACGACCCCTCCCTCGGCCTGCCCCGCTCCACCTACACCACCCTCACCAGCGAACTCACGAGCATCATCCACTGCGCCTGGTCCGTCAATTTCAACCTCACCCTCCGCAGCCTGGAGAAGGACAACCTCGGCGGCCTGAAGAATCTGCTGGCATTATGCCTCAGAGCCCAGCGCCCCCACCCGGCCACCTTCAATTTCTGCTCCTCCGTCAGCGCCGTCGTCAACTCGGACCTCAACCCCGTCCCGGAGACCCTGCCATCCTCCCTCGCCGCCGCGCAGGGCATGGGCTACGCGCAATCCAAGCTCGTCGCCGAGCACATCTGCGCCCGCGCCGACGCCACGGTGCCCGGCTTCGCTGTCCGGGTCCTCCGCATCGGCCAGGTGGTCGGCGACACCGTCCACGGCATCTGGAACGCCACCGAGGCCATCCCCCTGATGCTCCAGTCCGCCCGCACCATCGGCGCCCTCCCCACCCTCGACGAGGAACCCCTCTGGCTACCGGTGGATGTCGTCGCCACCGCCGTGAATGACATCGCATTAGCCTCGACTGCAGCCCCTCCCGATACCCCCACACCCACTGACTCTGCCCCTGTGCATGTGAATGTCCCCAGCAAAGGAGCCGGAGAAATCTTCTACAACCTCACCAACCCATCCCCCTTCCACTGGACGCGGGACCTCCTGCCTGCCCTCCGCCGCGCCGGGCTGGACTTCGTCGAGTTACCTCCAAGCGAATGGGTGCAGCGTCTGCGCGACGCGGACCCGGACCCCGTGCGCAACCCCCCGATCAAGTTGGTGGATTTCTTTGCGAGCAAGTATGAGTTTCCGGAGAGTGTGTTGGCGAAGCGCAGACGGCTGCGGTTCCGGACGGAGAGGGCCAGGGCTGTGAGTCGCGGGTTGGAGGGGGCCGGGACGGTTGTGGATGGGGATGCCGTGCTGGTTAGGAGGATGGTGGAGTGGTTTTTGAGCGTCGGGTGGGTTTCTTGATTGTTGCTGTATTGAGATTAGTGGCTATAAGTGATTGAAGGGGTTGGGGTGTTATCATGTTGCTTGGATTATGGGTTGTGTGTGGGGTGAGTGGTGTATATGTGATATGTTATGTGGTGTTATGGTACGGGTGCTTGATTTGCTTGGGTATATTGGAGGGTATATGTAGTCAGTACGGACCGGACTATGGGGGTGTGGCTAAGTAGAGTGGCATACTGAACGTATGCTATCGTTCCTATGTATTGTACCAGTTGTATGTGCTTTGTTTTGAGATTTGTTCCAGGGTATGTATGTACCACTTCATCAAGTTCGGTTGAATGCCTGCAATACCCCTCTCCAGTAATCATAGATAACCCTAACCAAACCTCGACCAGCTCGACTCGTTGACTAATTCACTATGAGTAAAATACAACGCACGTTTACTCCCTAGTCGGGGTAGATATTAAAGACCCTCATTCGAAATCAACAACCCCCAGCCCCCTCTCCCCAACCGCCTCCAAAACACTCTCCTTCACCATCCTCACCGCAACCCCCCACCTCCTCCCGACCCGCTGCTTCCGCTGCTGCCTCCGCTGCCGCCGCCGCTGGGACCCATCGCCCTCCGGCCGGGAGATCTTGCCACTCGGACTGGGCGTCTTGAAGGCGTCTTCCTCCTGAGAGCTCCCAAACCCCAACCCAGGAATGCTACCGCTAGCGCTTCCGCTCCCGCTATTGTGAGCAGAACTCGCCGGGCCATCGCTACCGCTACCGCTACTGCTACCGCCAGCACCATTACCAGTACCAGTAGTATCAGCCGTGACCCCCGGGTAATCATTCTCAACCAACCAGATCAACCACTTTACGACGGCGACCGCTTTATCGAGGTCCCGCTCGTCCAGGACAACCCGTTTCAGGTACCAGGCTAGCGAGAGGATGTCTTCGTCGAAGGGGCCTGGTTCTTCTTGTTCTTCTTCCTCTTCGTTTTCGTCTGCTTCGTCCTCTTCGTTGGGATCAGGGCTGGGGTTGAAAGCGGTGTACCAGGCTTTCAGGGCGTTGCGGAGGTCCGGGAGGGAAGTTAGGCGGTTGGCGGTGAAGGTGGGGCGTGCGGGGAGCGGGGGGAGGGGGATTGTTTTCTCGCGGGGAGGTTGTGGAGGGGCATTGTTGTTGTTTGTTGTAGGTGGTCGTGCGTGGGTTGAAGGGTGGAGGGCTGGGCGTTGCAGCAGACGGGTTCGACGCTGTTCTTCGAGGATTTCTTGGCGGATGTCTTCGGGTAATGCTGCTAGAAAGTCGGCGGAGACTTCTGTTGCTTGGGGGTCGGTGGTGGTGGTTGATGCTGAGGCTGAGGCTGAGGCTGAAACTGATGGTGGTGGCGGGTTCGGGCGGACGAATTTGGCTTGGGTTAGGGTCGTGGCTAGACTGGATTTGATGATGGGAGGACGGCCGCGACGGCGTTTGGTGGGCGTGGTGGGCTTGCGGAGTTTGAGGGAACTTGAGGATGAGGAGGTTGGGCGGGGAGGGTTGGTGGTTGCGGTGGTGGTGCTCGTGGTGGTAGGTGCTGATGTCCAGGGTTCGGGGGTTTGGTTGTCCGGGTCGCTGGAGTCGCGGGTGTAATAACCTAGTACTTCGGCCCGGACGTCCTCTGGTAACGCCATAAGCGTCTCTGGGTCGAGCTGTGACGGCGGAGGCAGCTCTGCGTCCCCTATGGGTCGGCGCGTGCGAGTGGGCGGACAGGGCGAGGTCGACCGCGTGTCGCGGCGAGACCGGCCCTGGGCTACCAGTTTCGATCGAATGTCGTTGGGGAGTTCGGCGACGACCTGCGGGTCAATCTGCGAGGGCAGGATGAATTGCGTTCCTGATATGTTCAAGGGCTTGTGGCCGCTCTCGTGCATCGAGGGGACGGACCGGACGGTCTCGGACTCGCCCCGCCGAGGACTCTCCACGTCGTCCGGGTCTTCAGGTCGCTCGATGCTTCTGCGGATGGGCGATACCTTGAAGTTCAGCTGCTGCTGGCTGCCGTCGGGCTTGCGAGGAGACCCAGACTTGAGCGGCTCGAGTTTGGTCATTTGTACCCCCAACCCTCTCAAATCACCTGGTGAAATGCCAAAGCTGCGAAGCATGGCCACGGCCTCCCGCCCCAGAACCTCAGACGCATTGGTGGCTACGCCGAGCATGACACTTCGGTTGACAATGTCGCATTTGCCGTGTCCCAGGTGCTTCACAGCTTCCAGGGGCGCGTCGGCTGCTCTCCGCATCACCTTGAGCGTCAACTGCTTGCCCTTAACGAGGTTCTCGACTAGTCGCTTGTGCAACTCGTCGCACAATGATCGGATAAAATCCTCGGCCTGATTCTGATTGACGAAGCGAATCCCCCAGTTGACTTCGGCAGAGACGGACTTGCGTATCGTCTCGTTGCCGACCTCGGTCCGATCTATGCCTCGCGCATACTCCCAAAGCTTGACGCCTGTCTTGGGACCCAAGCTGGATGTGAGCCTTTCACGAGTCAACTCCCGAACATCTTTCACAAACTTGACGCCTAGCTCCTCTAACTTCGCACCCATGCTATGACCGACGCCCGGAAGACTTTGGACCGTCAGACCCCCTATGAAATCTAGTACTTCGTCAGGCTTCAGCTGAGACTGACCCGCCGGTTTCGCTTTGCGCAAGGCTACTTTAGCCTGGAGAATGTTGCCACCAATGCCCACGGAAACTGCGCAGCCCGTTTGTTCCTTTACAGTTGTCCGCAATGCTTGCGCAATCTCATCGGCTTTGGCTTGTTCCCGGTAGATAGACCCTTCAGAAACACCTCTCCCATCCGAACCTCCAGCATGCAAGCATTGCATGGTGATGTCGACAAGCGCTTCATCGATGCTCACACTCTGAACAATGCCGTCTATGGCGAGGATGGCGTTGTAGAATTTTCGACTCGCTTCCTCGTATGCCGGAAAATCATAAGGTACGACCTGTAGACTAGGACACGCTCCCAAAGCGCCTTTCATCCACATTCCGTTCTTGATCCCATGCGCACGTGCCTCATAGTTGCAGCTTGCGATCTCAGAGCCCGACCCAGCGCCATGTGCCACCGCCACCGGCTTTCCTTCCAGATGAGGGTGTTTCAATGTCGATACAGCGGCAAAGAAGCAATCAAAATCCACATGCATGATATATCGTCTGACGCCGGGAACAGGTTTCGCGCCCTTGAACTGGGATTGCGACTTCTCCGCAGCTGCCAATTGGAGTTGGGCTTTAAGATTCGCCTTCCACGTCGAGAGATGATGCAAACGTGACTCTTTGTAGTATTGCTGGATGAACTCCGGGTTGACTACACTGGAGTTGCGCATGCGGGGATCCATCAAGAGTTGAGCATTGTATTCTTCAGAAGTCAATCCTGGTTTCGAGGGACTAGCTTGTTGAGCCGATGGGGTTATTTTTTGCGAGATATTTGAACGGGGAGAGATAATATCATTGCCTGGGTCGTCCTTTTTAGGTTCAGGATCCTTGGGAGAAGATAGTACATTGGTTTGTTGCGAGACAGGAAGAGGATTGCCCGTCTCGTCCATCGAAAAGCTAGGGAATTCGCCATAATCCGACTGGGAAGCCAAGTTCGGTTGTGTCTCCGTCGACGCTGAACCCGCAGGCTGCCCCAAAGGAGACCTCACGGGACTAGTTGCCTCCGGTGCCTGAAGTTGAGAGGCATACCAGCTATTCCTGCTCTGCTCCCGATAGCCGGTCTGTGAAGTGTTGGTTTGGCTCAGTATACGCCCATTGTCGAACTTCAAGACTTTCTGTGCATGTCCTTCGTCAACGACGCGGAACTGATCCCAGGGGAGCAAGCGACCCGCCTGGACACTCTCCACTACCCATGCTGGTTTCACAATCCGATATCTTCGGAACTCCTCCCGTTTCTTGGGGGTCAGTGAGCTGGCGATGATGTGAGTGGCATCCGTCTTGCCGCTCAGGTACTGGAGAAAACCACCACCATGGCTGACAATCAATTTATGAAGGTCCTGCAGAGACGGTTGGGTGTAGCCATTCACGTGCGCTACGACGCCTCGAAAGATGGGGGGATTCTCAGAAGCAGAGGAGCGTATCTCAGCGTCCAAATTCTGCAGCTTGAGCTTCTTCCTGCGCATATAATCGCTGAAGCCACCAAAGGTGGAGGCATCGTATTCTTCGCCACCCTCATCTTCGAATTGATCTATACAGCGGCGCGATAAGCGATTAGCGGTGCGGACGTGCCTGGCAGCGGAATGAGGGGGAGTAATCAGCACGTACGGTTCTGAATACGCTTGCGCACGGCACTAGAATTCTGATCCAAAACTGAGCCCATGTTGGGCCAAGAGAAGTAGCATGATCGGGCGAGGACAGTGAGAGTGTGCCTGTGGTTCCCGATAGCAGCGAATGAATGAATGGGTCTGGAAGCGGCAGAGGCAATGAAGGACCTCGGACTGCATGCGCAGAGAGTGGAGAAGATACATCACGTGACTCAATAAAAGCTCGAATGATAGAGAGCCTTCTTGGAAGGCGGTGACAGAGTGGGTCTTCGGAGGTGATTGGTTGCCCGGGAAATTCTTGATGAAGGAAAAAAAAAAAAAAAGCTCAAAGGCGGTGAAGGACGGTCTCGGTGCAGCCACAGCAATTCCGGGCGTGCTGCGGCGGCGTCAAAACTTTTCCTCTTCCTCGACTCTTCCTCCTCCTTCTGTTCCCTTCGTTCTTCCGTGCTTTCTGGTAGACGATCTTTTATCTGCCTTTTCTCTCTTTCTTTTCGTCGGGCTCTGTTCGTGTCCTTCTTTACAAAACCTCATACCCCCCCCTATATCACATATCACATTCAAAATGTCTGGTGTTCAGCCTGTTGCCGTCTATGCGCTCAGAGTTCCCGCTGGCGGAGCTCTGATTCCCGCCGTGGTCCCTGAGGCTGCTGCCATGGTGAGTCCAATTGACATTGAGACTAAAGACCATCTCGGAAATGATGCTAATGCAATGTGAAGTTCCGTGTGACCATGGCTGCCATCGACCCCGATGAGGCTCCCGAGTACGAGGATGGCTTCGACTCCAACAAGCGTCCCCGCGCCACCCTGAAGCTCGTTCGCCCTCCTCCTGGCTTGGACCTCGAGGACGAGTCTGATGATGAGGACTATGAGGACGACTCCGAGGAAGATTCCGAGGATGACGAGGAGGTCAACGGCGGCCCCAGCGACAAGGAGAAGGCCCGCAAGCTCAAGCTTGCTGCTGCCCGCAAGGAGCTCGAGGATGCTATGGACGAGGACTCTGAGGAAGATGACGAGGATGAGGAGTTCGACCTGAAGGCTGCTATCTCCAAGCTGGTCAAGGGCAAGGCCCCCGCAACCGATGACGATTCTGATGATGAGTCCGACGAGGGTCTCGAGTTGGATGAGCTGGTGCTCTGTACCCTGGACCCCGAGAAGGTAAGAGCCAAATCTCTGATCATGCCATCTAACAATCCATTGACTCTTCGCCATGTAGAACTGCCAGCAGCCTCTCGACATCACCGTTGGTGAGGAGGAGCGTGTTTTCTTCAAGGTCACCGGTACCCACACCATCTACCTGACCGGTAACTACGTCGTTCCCGCTGATGAGCACGGCCCCTGTGGTTCTGACGACGAGGATGACTACGATGAGGACGACTACGACCTCCCCCCTGGTGAGGAGGAGCTGGATCTCGAGGCTCTGTTGGGCGAGGAGGACGAGAGCGACGACCTCGATGAGCTGGAGGACCCCAGAATTACCGAGGTTGAGAGCGACGAGGAGGCCCCCAAGCTGGTCGAGACCAAGGGCAAGAACAAGCGTGCCGCCGAGGAGGCCAAGCCTGCTGCCAACGAGCCTGCTCTGAGCAAGAAGCAGCAGAAGAAGCTCAAGAAGAACAACGGCGAGGCTGCCCCCGTTGAGGAGAAGAAGGATGCCAAGGAGGGCAAGAAGGTTCAGTTCGCCAAGAACCTGGAGCAGGGCCCCACTCCCTCCGCCCAGAAGCCTGCTGAGAAGCCTGCTGAGAAGACCACCGGCACCCTGGGTGTCAAGGAGGTCAAGGGTGTCAAGGTCGACGACAAGAAGCTTGGCAAGGGTGCTGCTGCCAAGACCGGCAACACCGTCGCTATGCGCTACATCGGCAAGCTCGAGGATGGCAAGGTCTTCGATGGTAAGTCCCAAACCATATCTCACATCAAGCAATGACTCGACTAACATGTGTGACTGCAGCCAACAAGAAGGGCAAGCCTTTCACCTTCAAGCTTGGCAAGGGTGAGGTCATCAAGGGCTGGGACATCGGTATTGCCGGTATGGCCGTCGGTGGTGAGCGCCGCATCACCATCCCCGCCCACCTTGCTTATGGCAAGCGTGCTCTTCCCGGCATCCCTGCCAATTCGAAGTTGATCTTCGACGTCAAGCTGCTCGAGATCAAATAAGCAGTTTCCTGGGGATGTTTGTTTCCGCCCTTCCGCTTGTTGACCTAGCACCCAGCATCGCTCTGATTGCAGTCTCTCATCCTATTGCATTTAATCTTTCTTTCTATTGCTATCATATCTGTTGGATTCAATTTCTTTCCCAAAAGAATCGGTGTTCCGGGGGTTTTCGAATATATGACTTTTGATTTCTGTGATATCCGACTTGTTTCTTTGCACAGCCGTCCGCTGCATTTGGCAGGGAGGAGGATAGTAACGGAATATCTGTGTTCACAATCTCAAAAAGTGATTGCATATCATCCATCATTCATCATCTTGTCCTCTCGTCGTAATCATAGCGTTCCTTCCTCGGTAGACGTATATATGGATGGAGTGACTCTCATGGGGGTTGCCTAATCGGGACTGCATCAATCCACGGGCACCTCCTCTCGCTGCGCCAACCTTGCAACTCCCTCATCTCCTCTGTAACTGCATAGGCATTCAACTCAAGAGGCGTTCCATGTCTCGACAGAGTGATGAAGCACATGACGGTGCCTTTCTCTCTTTCGTTTTATACAATAAAGCAAGCAGCACATGTACTTCTATGATTAAGGGTAGGTGCATGACGAGCTCCAGCCCCCCTCATAGTATCAATATCGAGTCGGCCCAATCGCCTCAAGGCAGCTCAGGATGGACGAGAGCTCGCAAACTCCGGATGATAGCCCAACACCTCTCGATATCATGAGCAGTGAAGGATCTACCATCGAGACAATGATGTCAGGTACTCGAAGCTCTGACCCTCACCCGAGTCAGCTTAAGAGCAAGGACAGCGTTCGAGAACGTATCCGTCAACGGAGCTCGAGAATCCTTTCACTCCTGGGTCTACGAAACCCTGCGCAAGGTACGTCGCCGCTCGTTCAGTTCTCATGAGTAATTCACCAAGCTAATTGATGGCCGTAGTGTTGAAAGCAGTGGCAGCCCACAACCCAGATGACCCACGAATAGTCGAGGATGACCGCGTCCCCTTACAGACCTTCCACTCTTTTCCTGCTCCTGTCGAGAATGGACAGAACGAAGAGCAATCCGGTCGGATGGCAGTCCTCGATGGATCTCCGGATGCGTCTGAAGGATCCAGCCCGACTGGTAACATTGGTTCCAGTTCCAATCACATCAAAGAGTCCGTCGAAAATGTCCAAGCCCACCCAGAGGTGGCCTCAAAACCCTCAGAAGCACCCCTGCAAGCCCCTCTACCAATCGTGCGACCAAGCCACAAACGGTTATCCGAAGTTTTGAAGCGAAGTCAGTCGACACCGGCAGCTCTCACACATATTGTGTCAACCAAGCTATCAACCACGTTTGGATATCCTACGGTCATCCGTCGCTCACATCTTCGCTCGCGGCCTAGTTTTCGGCTTCCTCAGTTTCCAGGGCCGTCACTTGTCCCTGCATTGGGCAAGCAAGGCGACAGTGCTCAGGATAGCTCCGATCCCCAAACCTCGCCGGAAGACAGTGTGTCTCCGACTTGTACACGTTCCACTCCTCAGACAACTCCTCCCACGACGCCTCCCACATCAGGAGAGCCGTCAGGAGGCTCGAAGCAAGGCATTGTAGATGCCGAGCAGGCGAAACAAACAAGGTCACCGTCTAGCAGCGACGAGGGTACACATACCCAAGTGATCGAAGGCTCACTCAGTCGGCCGCCCTCGATAATTACAGTGGAGGCTGCTGCCAATGCAAAAGTCTTCTTCGAAACATATTTCAACTCGGTATTTTGTGGGACGGATCTTCGCTCGCAGCGCCAGCATGAGCTTGAGCAGTATATCTATGGCCTTCCTCTGGCTCCCGAAGAAAGGGCGAGAATATGGGAAAACTGGATCATCCAGGAACGGCAGTATCTGCGCCAATGTCGTGTTCTCAAAAGTCACTCTCGTTGTGGCCGACAGGACGAGACGGTATCTCTCGCTGGATTTGAAGCAATCAAGGTTCTAGGAAGGGGGAGTTTTGGAATTGTGAGGCTGGTCAGAGAACAGAAAATGGCAGAAAGTGACGGTACCAATGCACATGGGGAGAAGCATTCATTCTGCAGAGGAGAGCTGGCAAAGCTCAAAACCCGGTCTATCTCTGTCATAGATGGGACCACAAGCACACGTCGGAGGATGATGGTAGGGGTCAAGAAGGATGTATTTGCAATGAAAGTGATCCGGAAATCTGCAATGATACGCAACAGCCAAGAAGGTCACCTCCGAGCCGAACGAGACTTTCTTGTTGCATCGGCCAAATCTCGATGGATTGTGCCATTGATTGCAAGCTTCCAGGATCGTGATCATTTGTATCTTATCATGGACTACATGGTCGGTGGTGATTTCCTGGGATTACTAATGCGCCAGTGCATCTTGCCCGAAGAAATCACCCGATGGTATGTTGCAGAGATGATCCTGTGTATCGAAGAAGCCCATCGGCTATGTTGGATTCATCGCGATGTCAAGCCCGACAATTTCCTCATATCTGCGTCCGGTCATTTGAAAATATCCGACTTTGGCCTAGCCTTTGACGGACATTGGGCTCATGATCAAGTATATTACAATGAGCAGCGATACTCCCTGCTCAGGAAACTCGGGATCCAAGTGGCCGGGGATTCTCAGGACAGAAAAGAAGCTCGCAAGCCGGCAAAGGCATCATTCCATGATTTCGGTCCTGGAACTGAGACTGACTGTACACCACCTACGATGGGCCTGCTTGGATGGCGTGACCGCACTCAGAAGCGGCGTTTGGCCGCAAGCGTCGTGGGAACTAACCAATACATGGCACCAGAGGTTGTTCGGGGTGAGCTATATGACGGCCGATGTGACTGGTGGAGTATCGGTATCATACTATACGAGGTACGATGGTCGTTGAGATGTATGAACAGTTCTAACTCGAGCGCGACAGTGTCTCTACGGCTTCACGCCCTTTGCTTCGCACGATCGTCAGAAGACCAAGATGAAGATCCATGTACGTGGCTGTACGATACCTGAAACCCCTAGTGAAGCTAATCAAGACAAAAGCATCATCATGAGACACTCTGCTTTCCCGCCAGTAGAGCGTCGGACAAGCGGGTTTCGCCTGATGCAATTGACCTTATCAATTATCTGCTTCAAGAAAAGGAGCATCGGCTGTCGTCAAGCAAGTACAAGATTAATGACTCTCTGAGCTCCCGATTACCATCCCGACATTTCTTCTATAATATGGATCCTCGCAGTCGAAACTACAAGGGTTTTTACGTCTTCCCAAACGACGCAGCAGATATCAAGATTCATCCTTTCTTCCGCAACACCAAGTGGGATGAGATCCATCAGTCGGTTCCTCCATTCATCCCCAAAGTGAAAGGCTGGGAGGACACCAGGTACTTTGACGATACAGGATACGAGGGTGACCACGATAATACCTCCATCATGTCGGATCCTGACCACCCCGAAGATGACAGTGAGATCGAAGAGCTGGTTCCAGCTAAAGCCGAAACTCCTCTGCCCCAGGATGCGAATCGACATCCCGCACCTGGTCCAGGTCCAGGGCCAGGAGGTAAAGCCTCTCCGCACAAGGAACGCAAGAGGAAGGAGCGAAAACGCCCGCGGGACAAGCTTCTGCGTGACCGGCAAATGCGGAGAACAGTGCTCGAGATGCGCAAGAAAGGGGCATTCTTGGGTTACACCTATCGACGTCCCAAGTCCGTGGCCGTAGCCTTAACTCCTGATCGGGGTCGTTACCGTCTAGGGCGAGGCCAGCTGTCGGAACTATATGGCTCGTAGCGTCGTTGGCTGGGTACCCTTTATTTCATGAACCTCGGGAATCAAGAGCGACGAATGTACACGAAAGGCTCATGATGTATTCTTCATTAGACATTTTTATGTGGCAGACATCACTCATCCTTAAGAAGCGAGATATCTTACCGGTATATCTACTTGTACCGGCTGTCAGTCGTTATTGGATATTGATACGATGAAACGAACAATTACTTCTACAGGTTTTGAACAGATACTTCACAGCCCACAGTAGAGAATATTCTTATTACGACAGAGCGAGCTACTAGCCGCAGGGGTCATATGAACTTGTGCAACCTACGTGTAGGAGAAATGGAATTATCATATGTTATGTCATTGTGATTCAATTTTTGAGATGGTCATTTGCCCAAACGACAGAGATAGTCATGGCTAAAGGGACCATTCTATGTCATGTTGCTTAATCCAGCGCCGCGCCAAGGTAACGCCAATTACATGGTCAAGTCAAGCAAAAGCGTGCGAAGTACGAAGTACGAGATGAAAGATGCCTGTTGCTTATGCTTCTAGTCCCGGCAATTTGAATTTCAAACCCATGTGACATTGCGTTGCGAGGTGATCACTGCAACATCGATAGTTCTCAAGCGGCCGTGTGTATAGGGAAACACGTTAGGGTGGAATACCGGAAAGTAGGAGATACAGACGGATTGTTCCGAAAGCCTGATATCCAGGCACAAGCGATCTGTGATGAAGGTGTAGGGAGAGGGGAAAAAGTAGGCGAGAAGCAAGAGCTCTGAAAAGTATGAGAGTTGGGGGTATCATATGGTCAAAAGTAAGAGATATGGGAGGAGTCGGACGTGGATGCGATTTGGTGAGAAGAGGTGCGGATGTGTCGAGGGTTGACAGAAACTTGTAGGTGACCGACGGCTATCATTCACAGAGCAGGAGGCGCGCCCATTGCAAAGGCGGAGTCGCTGACTCGATCTTCGGGTTTCATGGTGCCGTTGAGAAGGGGACAGAGTCTGTTTGGCGGTTGTGGGTTCATGTGTTAGCTTGGATTTCTCAATTGGGGTTTTATGAAGATAGGTCCTTGTCTTCCGATGCGCATCTTGGGGTATGAAGGGGGTGAAAGGATCCTATGCAGTGGGCAGCAGCAATGGGTTGCTGAGCTTGCTTATTTCCGCTAATTGGGAATCCCGGGAAAGGAGGGTCTAGCGTGGGAGCCAGTGCCAGGTGCACATCCAGAATCAGGTCCAGGGGTGGTGGTGGGCTTTTTTAGAATGCCTTTTAGGGGGAGTGCCATGCGCCTTCGTCCATCGCCTCCTGTTTTTCCTGCGGCTGTGGGAGCCGGAGGGGAGGTGGACAGAGACGGGCGAGGCGATGGAGAGGCCGGCCAAGGAGAAGAGCGGGGTGTTGAAGAAGCAGTAAAGAACGAGGATTGAGAATCAATTGGGGGGTGAAGACACTCATCCTGGTTGAGAACGCACTTTTTGTTGGTCTTGATATGGCCGACCTGGCCGCAGTTGGCGCATTTGCGTTGTGTGCCAGCGGACTTGCCGGAGCCACCGCCACCGTCGGCGGGTGAATCTCCGGCTGAGGCACGGGCAGCTCCCTTTTGCTTCTCGCGGGCAAAGCGACGCTCCTTGTTGCGGTTGAGACGGCTCAATTCGGCTTCCAGACTGTGGTGGAGTTGAGATGGTTAGTGTGCCCAAGTCCCCAAGGGCCTATAAGGTATATTTAGGGGAGAAGATGAAACATACAGTTTCTTGTTGCGAGCATCGATTTCCGGATCGCCGGTGGGCTGCAAAGAATCCAGTCTGGGACGGTCAGTCAACTTGTCCAGAGCATTGGGAAGGGAAACCTTACTTCGTGCTCAAAGCTTCCACGCGATGACGGTGTTGAATATAGTGCCGAATAACCTTGGGGTCGAAGACCATCTGTTCCTTTTGATAGAGTTGACCTTTTTCGTCCTTGTATGTCCGCATGATGCGAAGAACTTTGCCTCTCTGGTCTGGCAAGCTCATCCTGCTAAACTGACTGGTCGTCTCGTCGTCGCGCCGATATGGGGCCGGCGTAGGCGCTTCGGATCTGGGTGTCGGCTTGCTGTACTCGGCTTCGTCATCGCGGTCAATGTCGCTCTCCTCATCGGAATGCTCAACGGTCGACGACAGGCTGGCCTTCTGCGCATCCCAGATGCGGCGAATGGACGTTTCGTAGGATTTCTGCTGCCGAGCGACATTGTAGCTGTGGCCACCCAATTCTTTGAGTCTTTGTGCATCGAGTTTATCCTCCACACTCTCACCAACAGCCTTGAATCCACCCTTCATGGAGGTCTTGATGAAGCTGAATCCCTCTCCACGCCCAGTAGGGTCGCCTTCACCGTGTAGTTTGAGCATCGCTTTACCCTGAGAGGCCAGGAGGAAGTTGCGTGTAGCCTTCCAAGGTGCCATTTGCTGTTCGAAGCTCTCGCCTTCTCCATCGTCATCATCGTCGCCGCCAGTCTCGGCATCGTTGCCAAAGCCGGTGTCGTGAAGGTGCTGCTGACCGACCTGCATGGATTCCAGCAGACATACATCCTCCGGTTGCACCCACGACCGAATTACATCCTGCTCCGGAACCGGCTCCATGGGCACCCAGTACTTCGAGTCCTTGTCGTGCTGAAGAAAGTCCTTCACCTTTTGACGGTTCTGCATATCACTGGTGCCGGGAATGTGCGCCGTAACGTCGCTGATGGAGAGTCGGAGGTCGGGGCTCTTCTTCAGCAGACGATAGACTAGCATCTTCATACGATTCTTCGCCACCGTGGTGACCTTCCGCGAGTGGGGCCCGGGCACGTCCACCGAAGGAAACTGCTGCCCAGCCACATACAGATTCTCAATGTTCCGGATGTAGTAGTCGCTACCGCCGGAGCCAGTCGTGCTGCGCACGATCAGGAAGTCGTTCGACTTGGCCTGGTGCTGGAACAGCGGTGCGCGATACATTGAGTTGGAGATTGCGGGGGTTATCTCGCCCGGATCGACGTGACCGAAGATTGAGAACGGACTCTTATCTTGAGGGAGCAGGACAACGGTCTCGCCAATCTCTGCCTTCGGGCGCGTGGGGTCTTCCATGCTCTTCCTGCGGTAGTAATTGATGAAGCGGTTAGACATACCGAAATTGGACAGCATGATAGGAACCTCTTCCGAGTATTCGACCAGCAAGACGTTGGAGTTATCAGCCAGGGAGAGGGATTTGGTGGAATCGAAGAGGGCTTTGACGTCTTTGCCCCTTTGATGCTTGCGCTTGATGTACGCGGTGTTTTTGAACCAACATGTCTGTCCCGGCCTGAAAGCAAGTGCTGGACGGTGGAACGAGCGAGCTTCGGCCTTGGCCAGCTCTGTCTTGTAGTAAGGCCACTGCAGGCGTAGAGCAGGCATACTGTGTTCCAACGTAACATTGCCCAGAGTGCTTCGGACCTTGTTCTGATGGTTTTGCTTGAGCATATCGTAAGCTTGGTCGTTCGAGATGTTGTACCGTGAGGTGAGACGCTTGGTGACACTGGCGTCCATTTCATCGCGGTTAATGGCGCCCAACGCTTTGGGCTTCTGCGTGGCATTCTCTGGTCCACGCTCATCGAGGAGGATATGAGGGTCGTTCATGTCGACAACCACCTTCTGGGCGATTCGCGAGGTTGCCTGCTCAGGGTCATCGACAATGGGCACATCGATATGGGCGAGTGCCACTACCTCCAATGGATCCCGACCGATTTTGCGTTTCTTCGTGGGACGACTTGTGTCGAGAAGCCAGTCGTCCTCCATGTCGACGTCTTGAGTCTCCGGCTCATCAACTTCCATGATAGAGATATCGTCCTTGACATCCCAATCTGCGCAAACGATCTGAAGGTCATGCAGGGAGACACCGCCAGGCAAAGTATCATCAACGTCCGTATCGTGCTCGAACTCCTCTCGAATCTCCTCCTCGTCCTCCTGCGCAGCCTCCAGAATCGTCACCAAGCCCGAATGCTCGGCTTCATGCGGGCGTTTGAAGACCTGGCCTGCGGCCTTGAACACTCGCTCCTGATCCTGCGCCAACTCAATGTTGACCTTACTCGGGATCACCGGTTTCGGAGGCTTCAGCGGCTGCTTGCCCAGAAAGAAGGCTTTCTTATGCGGGATCAGCTCGAGGAATCGGGGTAGAGCATTCCGGTCAAACGTGGGGAACAGCGAATGCAGCAGCTCCTCGACGTTCTCCGGCGGAGCAGGCGGGTTGTCCGGCCCGTACGCCGACATGGCGAACAGCTGCTGCTGGAGTTTCCACGCCCGCAACGACGCGGGATCCATATCCTCCGCCGTCGGGCTCAGCGCCTCATCCTCCTGCAGAAGATCCACCTCGTCCTCATCCATGGGCGCCGCCGCCGCGGGCTCCTGTGACAGAGAAGGCACCGGCGCCTCCATTACCGGCTCCGCCGCCGCCGCCGTTGCTGCTGCCGCCACCGATCCCTTCACTACCGGTCGTGCTTCATCAGTCGCCGCTGCTGCCGTCGTCTCCTCTTCCTCATCGAAGAACAAGTCTCGCGTGGGATCCGCATGATCGGCGCCCGGCGAGGACGGACCCTCGCCGAAGAGATCGTCCAACTCATCGCGGGGACCTTGCTGTGTATCATCCTCACCCTCCCGGCCGGCAGCACCAATATCATCCTCTTCGCCGCCGCCACCACCAAAAAGATCCTCATCTTCCCCGCCAAAGAGATCCTTGTCTGCGTCTTCATCGCCGAGATCCATCATGCCATTGTCGTCGTCGTGGTCGGCAGCAGCGGAAGGGCCCGTCCGCTCTTCTTCTTCGGGAAGCTCATCGTCGTCGAAATCCTCGTAGTCCACGGCGTCGTCGGCCTTCTCGCCGGGTTCCAGATCGCGCGACAGGAAATCGAAGGACATGGCGCCGTCCCCGAGGGGGCCGTTCATCTGTCGCATCACATTTTCGAAGACCGAATCTTCGGTCTCAGGGACCGGGGGCTCGGTCGCATGAGGCATTTTGACGGCGAAAGTGTGGTTGTGATCGTGGGTGTTGTTTTGAGAGAGAGAGAGAGAGAGAGAGAGAGAGAGAGAGAGAGAGAGAGTTCGGCTGGTGGGGGATGGAGGAGGGATGTCACGCGTTCGGGCGCATCGGGGCCGGCTCTGTCTACCAGAGATGGTGACCGACCTGGGAACGCGTAAAGATATGTGGTGCGAGTGAAGGGAAATTGAAGGGGAAAGAGAAGAGAGGGCGGATCAAACCGACAGCTGGAAGATGGCACGGGGAATGCAAAGCGGCGAGAGGAAGAAGAGAGAGACTGAGAGAGCGAGAGAGACTAAGATGAGAGCCCGGCGGAGTTACACCGCCCTAATCCCAATCAGGAAAGCAGCTTACAAGTTTCGGGGCCTCGAGTCCTCGAGTCCTCCCCCCTATACTGCAATTCACACAAACGGTAAAGTGCTAAGGGGTATTTAATTACTTCTAAGCAGACAACCAGACAATAATGTACAGGAAAGTGCAAGCCTGCGAGCATCTCCAAGCGGGGTGAGCTTTATCTCCGCATCACCTAGATAAACGCAGCCCCAACGAACAATTCTAGTGAAAACAAGAAAGAAAGCAAGAAAGAGTAAGTTAGTCACAGGCCATCATTGCAGATTGAACCCACCATAATATACACAGAGGGCTTTGCTCGCGCCCTCCATGCAGTAATGCATCACCGTTGCATTCTGCCCTTCCTTGACCACCTTGGCCATCTGCTTCACATCCGACGTCCGCGGAAGATACAGAGCCATGTGCTCGGTGAAGAGCGAGTATTCATTGTATAACTTCGCCAACGAGTAAGGCTCCATCGTCCGGAGGTTGAAGACCTTATCCGACCGGTAGCCGGGTCCTACACCAGTTGTCAGTCAGTGACATGCCTGTTCAAAAATCGAAGGGGCATATAACCCACCTCCCCACGGCGGACTGGCGAACAGAACACTGTACGGAGCCAGATCCATCAATTGGTTCTTGATGATTTCGAAGCAGTCGCCCTCGAACCAGGTGATCTGGTCCGCCACGCCGTAGATCTTGGCGTTGTGTTTCGCGCACTGCAGGACGGCCGGGTTCTTCTCGATGGCGTAGACACGCTTCCACCGGCCGGAGAGGGCAAAGGCAATGGAGTTGCCGCCAGCCCCGGCGAAAGCATCCACCAGGACCATTCTGTCCGCGGGGGCGGAGCTGGCCATATGCTCTGCAATCTTACTGGAATATTGTCAACTCCGAACTTGCGCATTCGCGGGCACGAGAAATACAATGCGAAACGTACTTGGCCACGGGCTCCGGAGTGACACCGAACCAGGCATCGTCAGTCAACCACACCCCCTCGTCATATTTAGAGAAGATCTTGTATCGTTGAGCCCAATAACTGTGGGAAATGGAAATAGTTAGTTAGGTTTGAGATGCATGCGAATCATGATGACCGGAGAACTGACTTCTGGATATCCCACGGCACTTCTCCGAGCTCGTTGTAGTGATGCACCTCCGGCGGAGGCACCTCTTCATTTGGATCGCGCGCCATGAAGCAGGGAGTGGAAAATGCCCGAGAAGAATCTCAACAGGTTCTGCTGCTTGACTCGATCGCAGCGCGGCGGCGCATTATTACCGACGACGGAGAGAGAAAGCAAGACCGATAAACCGGGGGCGATAAGCGATAAGTTCCAGACGGGCGGTGTTTGCGTTGTTTGTTTGAAATACATGGCCAGCCAGCATAGTTCAAGGTTACGGGGCATGATTCCTCCCTCCACGTTGCGCCCATCAACGAACGGCTTCCACTACATTGAGGTTGGGGACGAGACTGTACACCCCCGATCGCATCCAACCTTAGTCTTCTTACGGTCTACCTCTCCGCGCGACATGTTCGGCGCCTTCAACCGCTTCATCGGGCTGGAAGCCGAGCCAGCTCAGCAACCCCGATCGTCGACCGCGGACAACTCCTTTGGCTTCCAGGTACTCCGCAACAAGGATCCGGAGGTGCCCCTCGAGCCGTGGTTTGATTTCATCATCGGGATCAATGGACGTTTGATTGTACGTTTGCTAAGTATACTTGGTTGTATATCTAATCTTCTCCCAAACTAACCCCTCCTCCCCTCTAAAACACAGGAAGACCCAGACCCTCACCTCTTCGCAACCGAAGTGCGCAATTGCGCCGGCTCCAGCGTAACCCTTGAAGTCTGGAGCGCGAAAGTAAGCCCCCCAAACCATTCCCCCTTCAAACCCCATAAACAACCCTCAATTAATACCTCACCTAACCACCTATACCACCTCCCCAGGGCCAAAAATCCCACAGCGTCTCCCTCCCCGTCCCCGCAACCCCAACCGGAACCCCAGGCCCAACCCCAACCCTCGGCCTAGCCGTGCAACTGGCCCCGCTCTCCTCGACGCAAAACATCTGGCACGTGCTGTCGATCCCCTCGCCGCTGAGCCCGGCCTACCGGGCGGGCCTCCTGCCGCACTCGGACTACATCATCGGCACGCCGAGCGGCACGCTCCGGGGCGAGTCGGCGCTGGGCGAGCTGGTCGAGGACCACCTGGACCGCACCCTGGTGCTGTGGGTGTACAATAGCGAGTTCGACGTCGTGCGCGAGGTCGAGCTGATCCCCACGCGCGGCTGGGGCGGCGAGGGCGCCCTCGGCGCCGAGCTGGGGTTCGGGGCCCTGCATCGGTTGCCGGTCGGGTTGGGGGAGGAGGTTGAGGGCCCCGGGGAGGTAGTCTTTGAGAATGCTCCGTTGGGTTCCCGGGGGGATGGGTCTGGGGCACAGTTTGGGGGCTATGGTCAGCACCAGCAGCAGGAGCAACAACCCCAAGGGTACGGGTACGGGTACGGGTACGGGTATGGGGATCAAGCGCAAGGGCAAGGGCAAGGGCAAGGGCAACAGCAACAGCAAGAACAGCATCAGTTCCTCGTGCCGGCAAATCTGAGCTCCCCGCCTCCGCCGCCGATGGTGGGGACGCCAACGAATCGCGTGGCGAGTCCGGCGACGACGACGTCGACGGGGGCGGTAGCAGGTCATGGACGTTCGCACCGGAAGGCGAGAGCGGCGCCCAGTCCGTCGGCCTTTGATGAATATTTCGCCGAGGGGTTGGAGAAGAGTAAAGAGTTGGATTATGCCCCGTCGAGTCGGAAGGGGACTCCCTTGCCGCCGCCCCCGAAGAAGGGTGGTGGTGGTGCGGTGCAGAGCCCCCCTCCGCCGCCTGTAACGAGTGGCTCGCCGAGTCCCGCGGCGGAGTAAGAAGAGTACTAGTAGCAGCAAAGAATCTTTTATGTCTCGTTGTAAAGCATCGTGCGTTGAGTCTTTCGGAGTTGAAGCTGTCAGGGTTTGGTGGGGTCGGTCTGGTGATGAGATCCTCTTTTCTTGCCGTAGATGGCCCCAGATTGTTTACGGAGCTTGCCACAAGTTATGGGAGGAAGCTTGTCTAGAACCGTACTTCTGAATTCTAACCCTCTTAAAGTACACACATACACACAACCAGACAATAGACAGAGAGACGGAAGGAGGATAAGCTATACCAGCAGTAGATATAAGAGTCCGGTAGGTAGAATCATCCCAATTCCACGGCCACAAGAAAGTCTTTCAACCAGCGCTTGGAGGTAAGGAAAAGGGGGGGAGAAGCAATATATCACGTCCGCTTCGAAGCAGAGAGAGAAGAACACAGGAGAAGGCTAAACACCAAGAAATCAAGGCAGAGAAAGGTAGATTGCATTCTAGCAAGACAAAAGAAGCACCGCTTTAGTGGCCCTTGCTGACAATCTCCTCCAGCTTCTTGCGGGCCTCTCCGATCTTCTCCTCCATCATGGCGCGGCCCATGGCGCTGTGGGCGACACCGGTGTGGTAGAAGTGCTCGGCCTGCGCGCGGAAGCGCAGGTGCGAGTCGGCCACGACAGGGACCTTCTTCTCGTACTCCCAGACGAGGTCGGAGACGTTGCGCATGGTGACGGGCAGCAGGGTCCAGGCGGCCACGGTGCCGAAGGCGAGCGGGGAGGCAGTGCGGAGGATCAGGCCACGGTTACGCGAGACAATGGAGCCGGCCATAGCGGCTACGACGACGTAGACGCCCCCGGGGAGGAGGCGCTCGCCCGACTCGGGCGAGGGGGCCAGCGAGGCGACGGTGTTGGTGAAGGCGTTCTCAATGTGCAGGGCCCGCGACAGGAAGTTGTTGAAGCAGGTCTCCACGGCCAGGGAGTTTTGGTACAGGAATAGACGGGCTTGACGGACCTGGGCCGTCAGGATATCTGTAGGGGTCGGGGAGGAGGTAGCGGAGGAGGTGGTGGGTGTGGCCGGGATGATGGACGACGAGACGGCGGCGGGCGTCGTGGGAGTGGGAATGTTTCTGGTGGTCGGAATCTCGTCCTCGTAGTCATCGTAGATGGGTTTCTTCTGAATAAGAAAGAAGAGAACAGAATATCGTCAGACTACCATTGCTGTGACTGCAGTCAAGTTCTATGACATGAGAAGGAAGGTCGTACCAGGTCCCGGGGCTCTTCTGCAAAGGCCGTGCGCCGGGGATAGAGAGCAACTCCTCCAGCCAAAAGAGAGGCGGCGAGGGGAGCCACAGCCCGCTGTTTTGAGGCGGTTAGTGAAGGGATTGGAGCTTATGAAGAATTGCATTCGCACCTGTTGGAACATTGGCCGAAAAGACATGGTGCAGAGAGGCCAATGGAGGAGGGGATGGAGGAGGAGGAGGAAGGTCGGAGGGAAGTTGGATGGATGAAGTTCAGATCGGGAATGACGGGAGGTGAAGTTGCCAAGCGGGTTTTTTCGCTCTCCCGTCGCAGCGGCGGCTCGGCCACTCCTCCGTCATCCCCCGTTGATTTCCTTTCCCTTTCCTTTCCTTTTCCTTTCAGCCTCTCTCCTTCTTTCTCCGCTTCCCCTCCTCCTCCTCCTCCTCCTTCTTCTTCTCGGGCTCTTCCTTTCTCCACATACACCTCTTATCTCTGTCTGTCCCTCTCCCTCTCTCTCTCTCTCTCTCTCCCCTCTGCTCTATCTCTATTACCGTCCACCACTCCTATCTCATTTTGATCATCATCATATTACCTGCTCGTTCTCCATGGTATAAGCCGATCCTGATGTCGGAACACCATTTACAAGCCACTCACTCGCCCTAATCCCCGCTGATCCCATCATGGGGTCGCCTCACATGCTCATGCCACTGCGGCGGCGTCCGTGGACTTGTCGCACGTGTTTGTCTCAGGCCCGACGCTCACTGAAGACGGCTGCCGCCCACCGTCCCGCTAGAGACTACACACCCACCACGAATCATCAGAAGCAAATCGAGGACGAGACTCTCCGTCGCATGTTCGATTCGCAGCCTTTCTGGCGGGAGTTCTCTCAGAGCGGTGCTGCCCAGTTGAAACCCACCGGGCTGGTTCAAAACCAATACCTCACCAGCCCAGATGGCTTCCGCGTCTTCGCTACCTCCACCCTGCAGAAATGCCAGGCGATCGTCACCAAAGTGCTCGCCGCCTCGACCTTGAAGGAATACCGGACCATGGCCCGTGATCTCGACCGACTCAGCGATCTGCTGTGTCGGGTGATCGACTTATCGGACTTTATCCGGGTTATTCACCCGGATCCGCAGGTGCAGGAGGCGGCCACGCAGGCATATGCGCTCATGTTTGAATACATGAACGTTCTAAACACGACCACGGGCTTGAATGATCAGCTGAAGAAGGCAGCTGCCAACCCGTGTGTCACGTCACATTGGTCGGAGGAGGAGAAGATTGTGGCGCAGATCCTTATCAAGGATTTCTCTAACTCAGCCATTCATATGCCTCCGAACGAGCGACAGCGGTTCGTCAACCTATCGACAGAGGTCAGCCAGCTAGGATCAGCCTTTGTCAATGGCGCCGAACCGGCCCGGGCTAAAGTGTATATCGAGGCCAACAACCTGCGCGGCTTGGACCCCCTGCTGGTGCACAAGATGAAGCGGTGGACGACTAGCGCCGTACCCGTGCCGACTATGGGTCTCATCCCGCGATTGGCGCTGCGATCGGTCAACATGGAGGACGCCCGCCGAGAGATCTACCTGGCTACGCGGACGTCGAGTCGGAATCAGATCCAGGTTTTGGAGAAGCTGCTCACGAAACGGGCGGAGCTCGCGCAGCTGTCCGGCTTCGAGAGCTTCGCACATATGACGCTCCATGACAAGATGGCTAAGAGTCCGGAAGCCGTGGCCAATTTTCTGACGGCGCTTGTCGGCAGCAACCGTGAACTCGTCAAGGAGGAGCTCGCGAAGCTGCAACGCATGAAGGGCGCCAGTCCACTGCAACCGTGGGATCACGCGTATTATGTGCACCGACGGGTTCAGCAGTATTCAATGTCGCCCCGGTCGCGGGAGCTGAACGCAGTACCCGAATTCTTCTCGCTGGGCACGGTGATGCAAGGCCTGTCTCGCCTATTTGAGCGACTGTATGGAGTACGGTTGGTGCCTCGGGAGACGGCTCCCGGTGAGACGTGGATGTCGGACGTCCGCCGCTTGGATGTGGTCGACGAGTCCGGCCGGCACCTTGCGGTCATTTACTGCGATCTATTTTCGCGGCCCAACAAGCATCCGAACCCGGCCCACTTCACCTTGCGGTGTGCGCGGGAGATCTCCGCCGCAGAGGTGGCCGAGTGCGCGGCAGTGCTGGACTCGTCGGCGCATCCCAACGACGGCATGGCGACGGCGATTGACTCGAAGAGCAAGACGCTCCGCCAGCTCCCCACAATCGCTCTAGTGTGCGACTTTCCTGAGCCCCCCGCGACGGGAGCGGGACGCCCGGCTCTGCTGACTGAGCACAGTGTGCGCACGCTGTTCCACGAAATGGGTCATGCGTTGCACTCCATTCTCGGGCAGACGCGATTGCAGTCCATCTCGGGAACGCGCTGCGCGACCGACTTTGCCGAGCTGCCCTCGGTGCTGATGGAGCATTTTGCCATGGCACCGGAGGTGCTGTCGCTCTACGCCCGGCACTGGGAGACGGACACCCCGCTCTCAGAGAGCATGATGCGCAGCATGGCCAAAGAGCGGACTGCGCACGCCTCCGTCTATGGTGCTGTCGAGAACGAGGCCCAAATCCTCATGGCGCTCGTGGACCAGGCTTACCACACGCTGCCGGCGAACCGGCCGATCGACAGCACGGCACTCTACCATCAAGTGGCGACGACCCATTCCAGCCTGCCCGATCCCACGGACACGCTGCCGCTTACTTCGTGGCAGGGATTCTTCGGCCACTTGTATGGCTACGGGGCCACCTACTACAGCTACATCTTCGATCGGGCGATCGCCAATAAGATCTGGGAGGACGTGTTCCGCGGAGGCAAGGCGGCGGTGGAGCGAGACGCCGGCGAGCGGTACAAGAAGGAGGTGCTCCGCTGGGGTGGTGGACGCAATGGGTGGGAGTGCGTGGCTGGAGTCTTGGGCAGCCAGAACGCGGCCAACGCGGATGGGCGCTTGGTGGAGGGCGGCGACGAGGCGATGCGCGAAGTCGGCCGATGGGGGCTGGGGCGCGATGGAGTGTCTGGGTGAAGTATGTATATATATCAGGTCATCTGTATACTACGCTAGACGGACATGCATAGAGCTGGTGCTAAGGTTGAAGTCTCACTTTTTTTGTTTCCACCCCAGCCAGGCGTAACGGTAGCACGGCAGCACGGCATTTAACGCCACGAGGACGTTGAACGGTCTGGGTCAGCACGGATGCTACTGTAGAAGAGGAGGTCTGCATGGATGGTAGCTTGAGGAGGGAAGAAGATTGGGGGAGGTAAGGAGGGTGAGTTTAATGAGATTCCTGGGAATGAGGGAGAAGGAGAGGGAGAGGGAGAGTTGAAGCTAGGGCTGCATGTCTCAGCATCAGCTGTAGACTAGCTGGAGACTACCAGTATTGCCATGCATGTACTTTTGGCCTTATCTTTCCTCCTCCTCCTCCTCCTCCTCCTTCTCTCTGAGTAATAGTTACTATATAACCCAATCCAACCCGTCATCCCATCCCATCAGTGAAAAGAATGTCCCCTTCTTCATGTACAGCATTGCACAACATTAATGCCTCTCTCTCTCCAATATGCCTCCCCTCAACCCTACCCTCACAACAACTTCAACCTCATCCACCCTCCCCCCTCCCTCCTCCATCACACTGAACCACAACCACCCCTCCACCTCCACCTCCCATCCCGATAAGCACCTCACCCCAAAGAAGAATCCCACTCTCCTCCGCCGCAAATCCACCATCCACCACCTCCGCCACTGGCTCTCGCAACACCTTCCCAACCCTTCTTCTCCATCCCCATCCCCATCCCACCCCCCGAAACTCCTTTCCCGCTCCAAATCCCTAAGAAAACCAACCTACCATCGCTCCCCTTCGCCTCCTCTCCAATCCCAGAACCCCCAAAAGCTACCACACAGCAAACCCAAACCCGAAACCGAAACCGACACCGACACCTTCTCTACAAGCATCTCGACCAGCAGCTCAAGGTCATCCTCCCCGACCCCGTCCACGAAACACCTGAATGCAGAGTATGAGGCGTACTGCCGGGCGTTTTCGTCGGGGTTGACGGCCGAGAGCTACGCCTACACTAATGGATCTGCCCCGGTGAGGTATGGAGACAGTCGAGGGGATCAGGATCAGGATCAGGATCAGGATCAGCATTACCTCAATGCAGAAGCTGCTGCTGCTGCACGCGCAGCAAAAGCAAATCCAGGCCTAGAGCCCACCACAACCACAACCACAACCAGCACGGAGAAACAAACCCACCTCCACGCGCGAACAGGGTCACCGGGCAGAAGTGCGGACGCAGACACGAACACGGAGACTGCATACGAAAACGCAAACGCAAACGCAAACGCAAACGCAAAAGCAGCCCAGATCCCAATCCCTGCTTACAGCAACAGCCACCACCAACCACACGGGGAAGTTGCAGCAGCAGCAGCGCAGCCCATCCGCTCCACCACAACCACAACCAGAACCAAAAGAAAACGACCATGGCGAATCGACGAGATCCGTCGACCGGAGGACGTGCGGATGTTGTCGGGGGGGTATCAGCACCATCACCATCACCACCACCACCACCACTACCACCAAAACCAAGACCACGACCAAGACCCCCGGGCTCATCACCCGCAGGATCGACACGATCGTCAGGACTATAGGGATAGGGATAGCGATAGCGATAGCGATGCTGAGCCCGAGGGAGAGCCCGAGGGAGTAGATCATCCTCCCCACGATACCACCACCACCGCCACCACCACCACCACCAACATAACCCCGAAGAACCATAACCACACCGGTACCCACATCAATAATGCCGATCAAAGAAAAGACATAGAAATGTCCTACAGCCACAACAACAACCACAACAACAGCCACCAAAACCCAGAGACCAACAACGAAACGAATACCCTCAGTGCCAACCCTCGCCCTCATATCACCACCGCAACTACCACCGCTACTAATACAAACATCACTAACGAAACCACCACCACGACAAAACCAACCCCAGAAGAACCCCTAGAACCAGCAGCACCCATCTTCCCCGCCACAACAATCCACCCAACCAACCCGACCACTCAAACCCAGGAAATCCTGCACTGGCTACGACACCGCTCCTCCCTCGACTCCCTCGACAGACAAGGCCAAGGCTTCGAGCAGCATCGCTACCTCCACGAAGGAGTCGACACAGACACCGACGCAGACACCGACGCAGACACCGACGCAGATACACACACACATGCAGAGACACATGCTGCCGCTGCCCCTGCCGCTGCCCCTGCCCACTGGCACCTCCGTTCCCCCCGCTTCTCCCCGCCGCTCCGCGTCCTCACCCCGGCACGATATGAACAGCTCCGCAAACACACTACACAAAAACAACCACCCCGAAAACATTGGTGGGGGGCGGTGCAGAGCTATTGGGCGCGAATGCGGCCACGAAGCGAGGCGGCCAGGCGGGAGGCGAAGAGGGAAAAGCAGGAGGCCGACTGGTAAGAGACAGGAAAAAACCTACGGTGCAATTTAGGCCTTACAACCTCTGGCGTTGTCGTTGTGTGTCACCCGCACGGCAAACAAGAAAAAAAAACAAAAAAAAAGTCCAATCCAGTCGGGAATGAAATCGCCAGGTGTGGATGGCTTTTTTGCCTGCTGCTTTTTCCTGTGTAACCACACTTACACGTCCAATGGGATCCCCTGGAGAGGGGCATTGTAGAACAACGAGAGTCACAAGAAAGAAAGCGGAGAACAGGGGTATCCTGAGTATTCTATTACATACAGCCTAGGCCAATACAACAATAATGAAAATTCCTCTTCGGGACATCATACGACAAAGGAAATAGGGTCATCCTCCCCCGAGCCCAGAGTCTTCTCTCCCCGTTCACGAGGATCCTTCCTCAATCCCTTGCTCGTCCGAGCTGCTGCTCGAGCCGTTCGCCTTCTCGGGTTGCGGTGTCGTCGACTGGCTCGGAGGGTTGGGCGTCGCCCGACGAGACAACTCGGCCAATTCGCCAAGGATTCTGAGACAAGTCTGGTCAGCAGGTGCATCGGCCAAGTATGGGAAGAAACTCTTACCGTCGGTGCTCGTCATACCAATCATCATTAGTGGTACGGATGTGTTTAAGCTGCTCTTGGATGCTGGCCATCTATATTTGCCAAAAAAAAACCAATCAGTCACTCCATGTCGGTACATACATTGGGAACGGGCGTAGTCATGTGAAAGGGTGGAAATGGGGCAGTCCCGTAGGAGAGGGTGATGACGATAAACGGGGAGATCCCACCGTTCCCTGAATAGATGAACCAAGGTCCTCACCTTCGACTGCGGTGGAACCACCGTCTTCTCTGGCAAGGGTCTCTCCAGCCCACCGGCTGCCGTCCAGGCCAACCGACGAGCCCTTGGCACTGTCCCTCTCAGCCTTCAGCGCCGCCACTTCCGCCTCCAATTCCCGCGTGCGCTTGCGGCTGGCCGAGATCATCGAGTCGACTTCTCCCAGCTGGTTGAGGAGTGACATGTTCTTGTCAATCTGGCTGTTCAGGTCTCGTTCACCTTGAAGGACGCGCTCTTCCATGCTCCGGTTCTGCGAGCGGAACTGCTCGAGCTCGCCCGTCAGAGTCTCGTGCTGGCTTTTGAGTTGCGACAGTTCGTAGTTGGATGCGGCGAGCTGTTGCAGGACCGCCTCCAGCTCCGTCCTTGCGCTCTGCGAAGCAACCAAGGTCTTCTCGAGCTCTTCGGCCCGCGCCGACACGGCTTGGTGCTTCTCTTCCAACTCGTGTTTCTCGGCCTCGACCTTGGAAAGATCGGCGCTGTGCTTGCTAGCGAGCTCACCACTCACCGCAGCAGACCGCTCGGCCTCCGTCAGTTGGTTCTGAAGGTCGGCAATGGTCAGCTTCAGGCTCTCCAGAAGAGAGGCGTCTTGGGCAGCAGCTTGAGCCTCCACGAGCTGAGCGTGAACTTCCGCCAGGGTCGCGTCGTGCGCATTCTGTAGCTCTTCAATCTTCGCCCGGTTCGTGGACTCGAGGTCAGCACGGAGGTTGGAAAGCTTCTCCTCCTGGATCGTCAGGAGCTGCTCAATCGCCTTGCTATGCTCTGCATCCGATTCAGCAGCCTTGGAGGCCTGGCTGGCCTGCAGCTCGGCCTGGAGTTCTTTGTGGGTTTCCTCGTGCTGCTTCTGGAGCTCCGCGATTTCCTGGGCGCGAACCTCAGCCTGGGAGGTGATCTCGTTGGCATGGCGCTGAAGGGCCGTGTTGAGCTCGGCCTGGAGAGCTTCCATCTGCTGGGCGTGTCTGAATTCCAGGTCACGCAGAAGAGCCACGGATTCCTCATATTTGGCTTGGAGCTCACCGAGTGCCTGCTCCTGGTTTCCAGAAACGTCCGTCCGAGCCTTTTCAAGTTCGACAGCATGTTCAGCTCGGATAGATTCGAGGGTCTGCGCATGTTGTTCGGCAACAGCAGCGGCCTCTTTGGCCTTATCTTCCAGCTCTTTGCCGGCAGCGATAGCAGCTTCCTCCAAAGACTTCAACTGGCTCTGCTGCTGGACATCCTTAGCCTTGGTCTTGTCCTCGAAAGCATCCAGGCTCTGCTGAAGGGCCTCAGCCTGTCCCTGCTTGGTTTGAATCGCATCCTGGAGGGACTTGATCTCACCCTGGCCGGTGGACAGCTGCGATTCGAGGGCACCGACCTTCTCCTTGAGAGACTCGATTTCCTGGATCGCTAGGTCCTGAGCCGAGTTCGCACCATCATCCAAAGCCTGTCGGACCTCAGTGAGATTCTGCTCCGTGGCCTCCAACCGTTGCCGGAGGGCATTCAACTCAGCCTGATGCGCAGCATCGAGTTCGGCGAGCAATTCCTCGCGGTCCTCCTGCGCCGCTGCAGTGGAGGCTTCGTAGGCGGCTTCAGATGCCTGAAGTTTGTCCCGGAGCTCCTGAAGTTCCTGAGAGTGGGTGGTGCCGGCGGACTCGACCGCCTCCTTGGCAGCAGCAAGCTCTTGTGCATGGGCAGCAGCAGCAGAAGCGAGCGCTTCCTCGTGCTTCGCCTTCAGTTCAGCGATGGTGGCAGCATGAGAGGAGATGGTCTCCTCATGTTCAGATTGAATTTTAGCGACTGCAGCCTCGTGAACGGCTTCGAGCTCCTTGGCTTTCTCACCCATGTCAGTCTCCGTGGCGCTGCGCGCCTCAGAAAGTTCGGCCTGCACCTTCTCGAGTGCTTCTTGATGCTCGAGTTGGAGCTTGGCGACTGCGGCCTCGTGAGCAGCAGTGAGCTCTTTCGTTCTCTCGCTCAAGCTAGTCTCGGTGTCGTTGCGCGCCTGCTGAAGCTCGGCCTGGACCTTATCAAGGGTCTCTTGATGCTCAGACTGAAGCTTGGCAACCGCAGTCTCGTGTGCGATCTCGAGCTCCTTAACCTTTTCTCCCAGGCCGGACTCGGTGTCATTCCGTGCTTGATCAAGCTCAGCCTGCACCTTCAGAAGAGTTTCTTGATGTTCGGACTGGAGCTTGGCGATCGTAGCCTCGTGGGCAGCCTCAAGCTCCTTGGACTTTTCACCCAAGCCGGCCTCGGCTTCCTCGCGTGCCTTCTGGAGTTCGGCCCGCACCTCTTTGAGAGTTTCTTCATGCTCGAGCTGGAGCTGGTTGATGACGGCCTGGTGTTGAGCTTCAAGCTCTTTGGCCTTCTCCCCCAAGCCGATCTCGGTAGCGTCGCGTGCCTGCTGCAGCTCAACCTGCGTCTTTTCCAGAATCTCTTGATGCTCAGAGTGAAGTTTGGCAGTTGCGGCCTCGTGAGCTGCTTCAAGCTCCTTGATCTTTTCGGCTAGTGCAATCTCCACAGACTCGCGGGCTTGTTCAAGTTCACCCTGAGCTTTGGTGAGGGCTTCCTTCAGGTCGGCGATTTCTTGATCCTTCTCAGCCAGACGGGCAGCCGTCTCCTCACCATTCTGGTCAGTGACAGATCCAGCTTCAGCCAGCTTGGTTTCGAGCGAGGCAACCTTGTCCTCCAGGGCAGTAATGGTTTGCTTGGCAGCCTCCTCAGCCGCCCGAGCCTCTTGTTGCTTGGCATGGTTTAGGCGATCCATCTCCATGTGCAAGGTTTCCACCACTTGGTCACGACCGTTCAATTCTCGCTGAAGATCATCAAGTTTGGTGGCCTTGGCTTCCAAGGCTTGGATGACCTCCGCGTATTGGCTCTTCTGCAACTCCAGCTCGGCCTTCAAGGTATCGAGTTGCTCGGCGTATCCAGCAGCCGCAGCCTTTTGCAATTCCAGCTCCTTCTCAATCGCTTCCAATTGAGCCTGATGAGTCTGCTTCAGTTCTTCCAAGGCACCAGCGGTCTCATCGTCTCCGGCGGCGGCAGCTTGCTGGGCCGCCTCCTCTAGATCTTTCAGAGACTTTTCCTCGAGCTCCTTGTGCTTGGTCTCTGCTTCTTCGAGCTGGTCCCGCAGGGCCTGCAGCTGCTCCTCATGCGTGGCTGTCAACTTCTCGATCTCCGCCGTATGTTGCTCTCGGAGCGCTTTGGTGGCCTCGTCAAGATCCTGGGTGGCAGTCTCGTTCGGAGCCAACGATAATTCGGTCAATTTGATGTTGACCGTGTCCAGATCTGCCTTGAGTTTAGACACCGTGGCTTCACTCTCTGACAGCTGGTTTTGCAGGGATTGGATTTTCTCCGCATCCTCTCCGGCACTCTTGGGAGCAGTGCTTAGACGCTTGGTCACAGTGGATGTGGCGGGCTTAGAGACCAAGGAAGAGGGACGGGTGGTTGGGCGTGCCGTGGTGGATGAGGAGGTGGTCGGGCGAGAGGTCGACGTAGCGGTGGGCGGCCTCGCGAGTGGCTTCACGGTGGACGCTGTACTGGGACGAGAGGTAGAAGCTCTCTTCTCGGCCGTGACAGAGCCCGCAATGCTGGAGCGTCGATCCAAGGTGGAAGTGGTGGACTTGACCGGGGCCCTAGTGGCCGGGGTACCTGCCAGCGACATGCGCTTGGCTGCACTAGAGATGCCTCGCTTCTCGTCTCCGGAACTAGCCACCGACCGGGACTTCTCGTCTGCGGAACTGACGGATGCGCGAGACCGGTGCAGGCTTGTGGTGGTGGAAGTGCCAAGGGGCTTGCGCACCGTGGTTGTACTGGTCGGCCGGGTGGGTGGCTTGTTCAGGGTGGTACCATTGGTCGTGGCGGTGCGCGAGGTCGAAGTTGTAGTCTTGGGAGGTCCCGAGACCGAGCTGGGCCGTTTCGTAGCGCTAGTCGTCCCCGAGAGCGGACGTCTAGTGGTTGTAGTGCTTGTTGGGCTCTTCTTGGCCGGTGATGCCTTGACATTTTCCTTGTCTCTGGAGGCCTCGGGGCTTGTCAGGGGTCCCTCGCTCCCGGAGAGGATGGTTGCCTCGACGGGAGTCGCGGGGGGCGCGATGTCGGCCTCAAGCTCAGCGGGAGCGACAGGGGCGACGGGATCCTCAGTGGAAGCCATGATGCGGTGTGGGAGGAGGTCGCGAGTCGTTGGTCAAAAGGGGGTGGGCACCACGAGCTTCTTAAAAGGGGAGGGAGAGAGAAAGTTCTCAAGTGGGGAGTCTAGCGAATTGACAGTGTCCACGTTAGCTCGGACAGCGAAGACAAAATAAATTGAGGGGGGAAGTAGAGTGAACAATGCTAAAAGGGACAATGCAGATGATACAGCTCCAGCTGCCAAAAGTGGAAAGAATAGTCTAGCCACAGTCGCCAGACAGCACCAGATCACCAAGGAAAAAAAAGGCAAGAACGCAAGCCAGTGAGGTTGAATGTTTTCATTTCCCTCAATCCGGCGGAGGGAGCAGCGACGGGTAGCCGAGGCGGATCTCCTTTTTTTTTTAGCCCTCCAAACTCCGGGGGGAGGACCCAGGCGGAGGAGAACAGGCGAGACAAGCGCAATTTGCGCAACCAACCTAAGCGGACTTCTCTCAATGGCAAGGAGCCCTGCTCCGACAATTGACCGGAAAGAAATGATATGATAATGGAAGGGGAGGGAAAGGGAATGGTAGGAGGAGTTCGTGCTTCTGCCGCGGGCATGGCAGATCCAGAGGGGAGAATGTATGAGTTGAGTAGTTGTGACTGTACTTACCGAGAACTGGAAGTGGTGGGAAGTACCTAGTATCAACCACAAAGAGTACCAAAAGGTGGAACGAAGAGGCAGGTGAAAAGAGAAAAAAAAGAAGAAATAAATTAAAGTATTACAAAAGTAAGTAAGTACAAGAGAAAAATAGACAGAGAGAGATGAAGGTGGAGTGATGAGAGGATTGTCAAAATGGAAGAGAGGGATGGGGAGAGGGAAAGAGAAGAGGAAGGGAAGGAGAGAGAGAGAGAGAGAAAGTGAAGTAGAAGAATAGGAGAGAAGAGGAGGGGAAGGAAGGAAGGAAGCTGTCTACCACACCACCACCTGTAGGTACTGCCAGTACAGTCAGTAACTTACTCAAGTACATACATTGGAAAGCTCCCCTCCTCAGCTTTTCCCCTCCAGCTCCCCCTCTCCCCCTCAGCTCAGCTCCCCCTTCCCCCCAGAATGAAGCTCCCTCCCAATTAGAACCAAAAGCCAGTCTCCTCCCACCCTGCCAGGTGCACTATTTAAATGTTAGCACTGCACTGCACTGCAATGTATACGTCTCCAGAACAACATCGTGTCATTGAGTTTCTGACAATATCTACATTGAATTGAATTCTTTCACCTCCTCGGGTCAACTGTTTGTTGTGGATCAATCCCCCCTTTCTCCTTTCCCCGCTATCCAGAACAATGTGACCCATGGTTACATCCCAAGCCCGTGGTTGGAACTCAACACCACCACCACCACCAATGAGTTTAAAATTACCGCGAACCTGGGATGTTTGTCACCCACTCCCATTTGTTCCGACCCTCCTCCGTCGTCAACTCCTCTCCGATCTCCGACATGTACTTCTCATACATTTCCTGAGCTTTCTTGCGAAGATCAATGATCCCGCGCTTCGAGAGCCGCCGCCGAAAATCCCCCATGATCAACTTATACCGGTTGCTCGACTTCTCTACAAGATCGTCTTGTCAGCCTCAATCTAGAATGTCCAATCAGGGTGGGAAAGCACTTACCGGGATATTCCTGCAGTCCCTGGCGAAGAGCATCCTCTTCGTCCTGCGTCCATGGGGTCAGGTTCCCCCGTGGCGGCCCTTTCTTTTTCGCGGGGGGCTTGTGTCGTGGCGCTTTCTTCACTAGGCCATAATTCATAGCCTGGACGAGCTTTTCGAGGGCGCGACGAAGGCCCGACTCAACGCAGCTCGGTTCATCGCCCAGATAGCCAGAGATCGAGTCAACCCATTGAGCCCACTCGGCAAGCGTAGTCAGATGATCATGAAGGTTACCATACGCCTCGCTGAAGAGATTCTCGTGTATGTGGTAGATCTCATAGCAGAGGAACACAACCCGCGCCATAGGCGGGATTATCTCTCTGTAGAAGGCCCGCACCAGGGCCACACCCTGCTTCTTGTCGGCCCGGGTACTACCTGCCTTGCCCAGATTAAAAACCTTCTGGAGCAGCTTTTCGTGCTTCTCGTTGGCCTTCCTCAGGAGTCGACCGCAATGTGAGACTTCATTGTCAGAGGGCCCTTCGCCACCCTCGGAGCGTTCTACGAGGTTGTTGTAGAGCGCGATCATCGACCAGATCGGTTTTCGGATCGAGTCGAGCTCAGTAGTTCTGTATGACTGACTCAGTCGCGTCGATTTCCGACCTTGCCTGATGATAGCCTTCCAACTTTCCTTTTGGCCATCCGCCTCGGACGCTTTCACGAACCACGGGCTGTCCGCTAGGGAATCCGATTCCTCGTCCGAGCTCTGGCTGGAACTGCTATTTTCATTGGATTCACTCTGCGGATGTTGATCACTTTCAGAATCAGTGCGTCCCGAATGTGGTGATCCAGGAGTCGGCTGTGCTACATCTGCCTGTGGGCGGGACGGGGGTGCTTGCACGGTTGGGGACGGGACAGCGGTCCGTCTCCGTTTTCTTGGGGTTACAATCGGGGACGGTTCGGCCTCAGCAGAATGCACGCCAGAGCCGCCCGAGTCATTGCGGCTATCACTTGAATCAGTGGGGCTGTGTGCATCGTCTGTGGATTCTTCACGGGTTTCATCAGGCATGTCTTGAATTGTTCGAGTTTGATTGCGAGTCCGTAAATGGCGCGATAGATCTGCTCCACCTTGGTATCTTGTAGTTGCCAACTTGCTTGATCGTCCCAGCGGTGGCTCTTTTCGACCTGAGGCTGATAATCCGACAAGAAGGCTTCGCGAGTTGCTGGGAAGTGCTGTTTCTGTTGCTCGTGTTCTTCTTCGCTCTGTTTCGCCCAGGCACTTGGGACTGAGGCCCTTTTCCACTGGTATCGAAGCCTTTCCTCGTCGAGAAGTCTGACCCATAGTATCTGAGTTGTCATCGCCCAATGCTTCAATTGACAAGCTTTCCATTTCTTCATCATTATCGCTTCCAGCCTGAGAAAATGGACTTGTGGATTGGCGCTGGCTACTGTCCGATGCTTCGGAGGCATGCTCTTGCTCATCGCCAGAAAGATCCATGTCTTCGGCTAGATGTGAGTGAGCACTACTCGGCGTCGCCAGTCCTTTCACTGATTGTAGCTGCGACCCATCGTCATCTGCCACGGACGACGAACGGGAAGTATGCTGTGCAGGTCCAAGCTCTTGATCATTATCGGAGAAAAGATTCAACTGAGGTGGATCGTCTTCCATGGATCCCTCCTCTTGGAAATCAATCATCTCGGTGTCATCGTCGGACCTATGGGCTTCCTCGTCGCCAATGTCTGCAAGAACATTCGCATCTTCATCTTCCTCAGCATTGTCGTAAGCATCCTCACTTCCTTCCCCGCTATCGCCTTCCGCAACCCCGCCATTCTGTTGCTCTTTCCTCCCGGACGCAAGCACTCCGCTGCCATATTCGGGCACTGAAGTGCCTCGCAGTCGATTTTTCCACGATGGTTGCGCGGTGGGGAGATTCGCTGGGAGTCGGCGTCGGGGCTCCGACGCCGGGGCCAATTCAGGGGATCGCGGAATCTCCCACAGGTCCTCATGAGACGGTCGGATCTGTGCTAGAGTGATGCGACGTGAGCGGCGTGTAGGAGTATTCGGAGAGTTGATGTTTGATTTGGAGAGAAAGGTCTTGTGCATCACGGTGTTCAAAAAATCGACCGACTGCGTGGTGGAGTCACGCTTCCTTCGTCGCGACGCGGCGGGTTGCGGAGATCTTGCCATGTTGAACGCCCATAGGGTTTGAACCTCAACGGTACAAGCAGATACATTTCCTTCATAGCATTATGACTTGAAAATGAGGGGGGAAAACGAAAGTCAGCGTGAAATTTGCCGGGGTTGAATCCGGGGGGGGACTGACAGCTGAAGCTGCCTGCGGCTGCGGCTGCGGCTTGTCGGACCAAAACAATCGATAACACACTAATTTACTACTAGTCCTTCCAAGCGTCATCGACCGTTATCGATAAGTCGGCAGAGCAAACAACAGCAACTCCGCTGCCCGTCCGTCCCACCACAACCACGGCTTTCACGAGGGCAACGCAACCTGTTGGTGCAGCCCCAAAATCTGATCTATCAAATCAGACAATTAGACCGCCTGATCGCTGAGACTCATTCATTACTCAGACAAAGAAAACAGTTTCACCAATTTCCAAGATGGCTGCAAACGGGCTAGTCCGTGTCTTGCCTGTCATTGACCCCTCGGCGGGACACAGCTTCAGGGAGCCCATCAAACGCATCCACGAGCACCAGGATGTGTCGGAGTTCTTGTGCTCCAAAGGCTATGTGGACATTATGACCTTCCTGCTGCAGCTCAACCGGTCCATGTTCCCTGCCAAATCGCCAGATGGGCGTGTCCAGACCTGGCCGGTGGGATCGGATGCGGTCGAGTACTCCGCCCCCGTCCGTCAACTACAACAACTACTATCCAAGCTCGAAGCGATCCTGGAAGAAGCACCACCCGATAAGGGGCCCCGCAGGTTCGGGAATATTAGCTTCCGCCGATGGTATGAGATTGTGGAGAGCCGCGTCTCAAGCCTACTGGAAGAGTGCCTGCCCGTAGACCTTCTGAAGACTAAATCGTCCGACCCCGACGGCCCGACAGCAGAGGTGGAGCTGAAGGCCTATTTCCTGGGTAGCTGGGGAAGCCCCCAACGCCTGGATTACGGCACGGGTCATGAGCTGAGCTTTCTGGCCTTCTTGGGCGCCTTATGGAAACTAAACGGGTTTCCTCGGAACACCCCAGGGGTGGAGGAACGAGCTATCGTTTTGGGCGTGATCCAACCGTGAGTTCCATGTCCAATCAACGATCGATATCCTACTAAATCTGAATGAGTTACCTGGAACTTGCCCGCATCATCATCAAGAGCTACACCCTGGAGCCGGCCGGGTCTCACGGCGTGTGGGGATTAGACGATCATTCGTTCATTCCCTACATCTTCGGCTCGGCGCAGTACGCCCCGGCGCTTTCGCAAACGGACCAAGTACCTGAGGAGGGCTCCCTGCCTGATGCACCTGACCCCAACGGTGTCGCGAAGGCGGCCGTCGTGGAACGGGAGCGACAAACAAACCTGTATTTCTCTGCTATTGGGTTCATCTACGATGTGAAGAAGGGGCCGTTCTGGGAACATAGTCCGATGCTCTACGATATTTCAGGCATCCGCACTGGCTGGGCCAAGATCAACAAGGTACTTAGGCGTCGGACCGAGCAGAATCATTGGCAACTGACAGCTGCTAGGGTATGATCAAGATGTACAACGCGGAAGTCCTGTCCAAGTTCCCCGTCGTCCAGCATTTTCCCTTTGGATCCTTGTTCAGCTGGGATCGCGACCCTAACGCGGTGCCCCCTCCGTCTACGGTGCATGCCGCTTCAGGGCCCCAGTCGCGACCCCAGGAACCTTCCACGCAGCATCCTGCACCGGGGACCACGGCGCCTTGGGCTGCGGGCTCACAGACAAGCCCCGCGGGTGGTGGCACCGCTGCACCCTGGGCTGGAGGCCCAGCAAGAGCCCCGATTCTCCCTGATACCTCACGGTTACCCCCGGGACCCATGGCGCCTACCCGAGCGCCGTGGGCGAGTGCCCAGCAAAGGCCGGCTCCGGGTGGACCGGCAGCCCAGGAGGACATGCTCACGAAGGCCCCTTGGGCTAAGTAAGCAGGCCATCTTCAAAAGTTCTACTGTCTACCATATACCCTTAGCATCAAAGATGCCCATTTTTTACATCACGAACTTCAGAGTAGAAGGAATGCAGCCATGCAGTCATAAAAATCAACATGATATCAACAACCACCCAGGGTATCACGAACCACCAAAGTAACGCCAATGTAGAATATGCACAATGTAGAATCAATCAGAATCCGACGCGTAATCCACCAGCCCAGCTGAAGCCAGCGGCGTGGTCTGTGCCGTTCTCACAGATTCACTGTCAGGCGTTGCACTGCTTTCTCTCGCCTCCTCCTCAGCAAGCCGAATACTCGCAACAGTCCTCCGTCTCTTGCTCTCCGGGCGCCATTCACTCGAATCGCTACTGAGGAACGGATCCACAGCCGCGCGAGTATTACCCCTCAACTCACTGCGAAACAGGGCCTTGCGGGTCTCCAACGCATCCGCGACCATGCCCGTCGATCGAGACGGCTTCCCCGGCGCAAACAACGGCTTCAGCCTGGTGGACATATCCTCCTGCCCGCCAAACTCCACCAAGCCGGCCCTAACGCGATCCTCCTCCGTCTCATCCACGACCTCAATCCCCAAACTCAACTTATCCCTCAGCAACTGCGTATCGGCCTCCTTCCTCTCCAACCCCTTCCTCACCTCCCGGAAACCCCTCCTCAACCGCCGCGAATTCTCATACGGATCCTCCCAATCCCTCGCCTGGCGCGCCTGCAACTCCAGGATCCTCTCCGTCTCCGCATCACCCCGTCTCTTATCCTCCACCTTCCCCTCCAACCTCGCAAACGGATCCACCTCATTGTTCCTCTGCCCATGCCCAGCACCCCCCACCAAAATCTCAGCGCCCCCTTCCCCCTGCCCCTGCCCCCCATCAGCGGCCCCCAAATCCCTCCTCCGGCCCCCTTCCACAACCACATACTCGGTATTCCGGGGATCGGTCCGGATCTCAATCCACCCGCCGCAGGCGGCATGCTTCATCCGGAAACTGTACACGGGGGTGGAGTAGTACCGCCCCACGGGTTTCTTCTCGGCGTTGAACCGCACCCCCTGGCCGATCAGGGTCTCGTGCGGGCGGCACGTGGTGCACCAGACGGCGAAGGGCATCTCGAAGCGCACGGTGAGCGCGCCGGTCGTCTTGAGGTGGCGCGCGCGCGCCCCGAGCGGGTGTTTCTTGTGGAGCGCGTTGCCGGTCGTTGTGCCTTCTTGGTCCGGGGGGACGTATCTATCGCGGTGCGTCAGGAGTGAATATGGATAGAGAAAGGGGGGTTGGGGTGGGTTGAGGGGTGGGGAGGGTGAACGGGGGTTTGAGGGGGGGATAGCGGAAGACGAACCGTCCCATGTCTGTAAGTTAGTGCGTTGTGGTTAGTGATTGCTGGTGATGATGGGCTGGTGTGGGGTGCGGGGGGGCTTACTGAAGCCTTGCATCTTGGAGTAAAAATTTCCCTTGAGGGGGTCAAGGTTAGATGGTGGGTTGGAGAGGTGTAGATTGAATTCTACCGGGCCTGGTAGGCCGGCGCGATGAGGACGCCGGGGGGGGATTGTGGTGGGGGAAGGCGTTGATAAGGAAGTATAGAGTGGCCCAGTGGGAATGGTGTGTCGAGGCGACCTGATTTTCTGCCACCGCCTGGATTGAACAGTTTCGATGCCTGATTTTCTGGACCTGTTCATAGGCTGGTGCCTGAATTTCTCTCGCGAGGTCGCGGGCGTTCTGCCGGTCATGTGTCTAGCAAGGCGGTTGCAGGCGAGTCAAGTTATGCGGGTGTTGCTTAGTCGCCTTTAACTTATGTCTTGTAATGAATCTACTCATAGTTCCATCTATCACTCATGCGAAGACCTCTCACTCCTAATAGGTTGATGCCAGTCCTGTTATTATCTGAGTGTGTTCTTGGTTTGTGGTTTGTGAGTTAGTCTGGGATAGCATTGGTATACTTTTCATCTCACATAGATGATCTTCCCAAAGCGTGGAAAATGTAGGTCTATCAGGGTTTTTTCCCTCTCGATCCTACGCATTATTCTTGAAAAGAGGAGTTTCCCCTCTGTACACTCAGAAATGCATGCATTGGAGATCCCGCGGAATGCAGAAAGAGAAAGACATAAAAAGAGGTATGTCAATTCCCCTTACTGCTTCGCACAACAAAAGAACCGATCCCGAATCGAGTTTCATGGAGAGACTATCCATACAGACGACGGGCTCCTCCAGCCTCATCTCTCACTGCCGCATACAAAAAACGGCCCACTCGCAGAAATGGTCACCGAACTGAGAGCGTTGGTCTTGGGACTAACCGTCTCCAAAGCATATGGCACTGCAGTCAATTCTACAATCCAAAAGAAGCAGGCAGTCTTCCATCCACTACTAGATATCCCCATGAACAATATATACACCAAAATACTTTCTTCTCTCGCCTGCGATGTGATGGCGAGTGACCTGGGATATCCCCAACTTTACATCTTAGGAAGATTGCCCGTCCGGTACACTACATCGGAATCGAGCGCACTGCGGCGAGCAACTTAGCCACTACACCATATCGGATCCTGTTGTTAATGACCTGATTACAAAAGAATGATGGACCATGACGTAGCGGTGAATGGCGCAAAGGCCGTGGAGGACCGCTGGTGTCGTAGAATTGACGCTCCTTCTGTATCACTGCTAGAAGGGTCAATTTCTCATGCGGCTCGCCCTGTACACTGCCTTCCATTTCTTGTTGCATCATTCCTTATGGGTATAGGGCTGTGCACACCCAACTATACAGGCGAGGTCAGTCGGGCAGGACATGTAACAAAACCAGAAGTCTGGCGCTTCACAATGGCGTGTATAGTTCTCTAGCAATGAGAAGAGCAGGGGTCGAGCTTATGCTCTAGCTATAAGCCGTGCAGGCTTTGCATAAGTAGTACAGTATCCATTCACAAAGCGATTCATCTCACATAACAATGTTATTCATTCAATTCTATACACTACCCTAACCGCTCACTGAGTACTAGATCCCATCCTCACGAGGATCATCACGTCTCCCTTTATCCCCCCCATTCAGATCCCACAGACTCCTGACCGTCACATCATGCACCCACTCCCCATCCGTCTCATCCGCCTGCACCACAAACCCCACGATCTTCTTCTGACCCGGCACCACCACAAACGAATTCTCCTCGAAATACCCCACCACCCCCTCCGGGTGCTCCAACCACGTATACAGCGCCACCCCGGCCGTCGCCTCGACCTCGAACTTCCCCGACTCCGCATCATACCCAACCCTCACCCGGGGATCAACCAGATCCAGGTCCTTCGGGAATGCGGGCGTGAACCATTGCTCATGGGTGAAGGTGACCTCCTCGTCGGTGTTCGGCAAGCACCCGGTGGCGGTCAGCTCCAAGGCCAGGATGGCATCCTCGTGCCGCGGCAGGGGCTGCTGCTTCATGTTCATCCGATACAGACGGGTGGAGTTGAGGGCGCCGACGTGGAAGGGAAGCGGCTTGATGGGGAGGCCGCCGTTCGCGGCGATGGGCTTGCCCGACAGATCGCGCCAGGTAAGGGTGACGCTCCCCGAGGCCGCCGTCCACAGGTCCGAGGTGACGTAGATGTCCAGGGCGCCGGTGGTATAGTTCCAGAACGGCGAGACGATCACGGGCTTGTAGATGTCGCGCGCCACGTAGTGAAGGACCTTCCAGCGGCCGCCGTACTCGATCCCCGCCCACGAGGGCGCCTGCCAGATGTCCTCAAGCTGCCAGTACAGGGACCCCAGTTGGCGCTCTGGCCGCCCGCTGCCACGCCGGTAGAACTGAATCTGCGACTTGTAGAGGTCCGCCTGGAAGAGCTGGGTCGCGTGGCACCAGGCGCTGAAGTTGGCCAGGGGGTCGGACGGGATGTTGGGCGTCGGGTAGTAGGCCAGCACGCCCTGGGTCATCTCGCCCATGCCGAGCGAGGTGTTGTGGTAGTTGTCGGTCATGAGCCCGCCCGCGGGGTAGTGGTGGTTGCGGAGCATGACGACGCTGCTGTTGAAGGTCAGATCGGCCGGGTCCGTGAGCGCTTGCTGCCAGGTTTGCAGGCTGGGCATGCTGTGGAAGCCGAACTCGTTGGCGAACCGGCCCACAGGATAGGTGCCGTAATCGAAGGCGATGCTCGCGTCGTAGTTGTAATGGTCCGTGTCGCCGTAGTATTCGCCCTCCGTGGTGTTGCTGTAGCGCTCAGCCATGGGGACGGGTGCGGAGAGGTCGATGTCCAGGTAGCCCTCGGTAGTGCTGCTGGGGGAGTAAGAGATGGACCGCGTGTTTTCGTAGACGAGCGGCAGGAAGAGACTGATGTATAGCTTTTCGTACTCGCCCACGTAAAAAGGGTACGACTCCGGATCGGCCGCCTCGACAAGCAGCAGCATCAGAGATTCGATCTCGTTGCCACCGGCCCATAGGGCCAGAGATGGGTGGTGGTTAACTCGTCGGACGTTGTAAACTACCTCCGCAGCGACGTTCTTCAAGAAAGCGTCGTCCGTAGGGTACAGCGCGTCGCTGAACTGGAATTCACTCCACAGAAGGATTCCCTTCTCGTCCGCCAGGTCGTAGATATAATCGTGAAGGTATGCCCCGGAGGACCAGACGCGGAGCATGTTCTGGTTGCCCGCCACGACTGCATCGAACAACCGAGTCATCGTGTCCTCGGTAACCCGAGTCCAGAAGCAGTCCGGTGGAATCAGGTTTGATCCTTTGGCATAGAGCTCATGTCCATTGACTTCAAAGTGCCAGTTCGCCCCAGGAGCGATCCCTTGCGCCAGCTGAGCGTCGGTGATATTGCGCTGATTGAGGAAGATCGTGCGGAAACCAGTTCGCTTCGTGACTTCAGCGATGGAGTGATTTCCCCCGTCGGTAACCGAAATGGTCACATTATAGAGATTCTGCTCACCCAGGCCTTGCGGCCACCATAATTTCGGGTCAACTCCCTCCAGAACCGTGACACCCGTGACCGAGCCCACGGTAACAGTGATGTTGGTCAGTGGCCGTGAAGCAAGAATCTCTCCAGACTGTAGATCTTTCACCTCAATCGCCATAGACGGGTTCTCTGGCAGAGAGCCCAAATAGTCCAGACTAGCATTCACCACCCACGGCTGGGTCTGGTCAGGCGGGAGGTAGTTGATCTGTCCCAGCCGGTAGATATCTAGGTCCGTGTTGCGGACATACACCGGTGCCGCCTGTTTCAACTGAACCACGTATCCAGGCTTCCAGGGTCCAGCCGGCGCAAATGCCGGACCCCAGTCCCAGCCAAAGTCCGACTGTTCCTTGCGCATGAACCACCGATTAGGATACTCATAGGTGATCTGGACTCCCTCGGGCCATGCTAAACTATCATTAGCCTCTCATCCCCCATCAAAACAATCTTCAGGAGAAACAAAAGGCACTAACTCGGCGAACTCGGGTCCTGTGCAATGGCATCCACAATATTTGGCGCACTGCCAAACTGAATACTCAAAGTTGGCTCCTCAGGACAATCTCGAAGAATGGAAGAGACATCGAACATGTACTGTCGAAACTGGTTATCCGTCGCCCCGACGAGCTGCCCGCAGAACGAGATCGAGGTGAACGTGTCCAGCCCGTCGAACACCAGCCACGTGGAATCATAGTCCTCTCCTCTATAGTAATCAAAGGTTCAGATTAGCCAGCTCAAATTCCTTCTCACACAAAACAGACCCAAATCTCTATCACCAAGGTAACAGGAGCGAATCACTTACAAGCCTTCGATTTTCCCACTGGTGTACGTCCAATTGGCATCCGCAATCCACCTCAAATTGAAGTCATTCAAATCATTATACCTGTGCAGAGCCTTGTTAGAAAAGACCGCCGAACGACATGCAGTACCCTCTCGAAAATTAGGGGATCATCGGAGCAGGGTGCAGGTCAACACTTACGGTTCATCTGTAAACATTCAACACAGTCAGCAAATCTCAGCCCGGAAACCAGTTGGCAAATAAGAGAAACCATGATCTCACCAATTATTCCCTCCCGCAAGAGATCCATATGTACCTGAGACGGAAACTGGGCCGGCACCGTACGATTCAACGCGGCACTGCTGAGCGTCCATTGTTCAGCACCCAGGTCACGGACATATTGGCTTTTGCTCGCTGAGGGCAAGAATAATACGCCTAGCAGCGTGATGGCTGTTGTGGGAAGCGCACGCATGGTTGTTCTTTTGCTTCAGCAGGGAAAAGAGGGAGCTTGTAGATGATGATTGTTTCTTGATCCACGCTCCACTTGCGGGCAAGAAGAGGGGGTTTTATCTCATGTCACGACGACAACCAGGAAGAATCGGAGTTCAGCCGAGACAATAATGAGTGACGTCTTGCCATCCTGCAGCAAGGGTCCAAGTCTGAGCGACTAGACTATATAAGTCAAAGTGACGGAGCCAAGGGAGGGGGAAGCTGGTTGTACGGAATGTCCGGACGGCAATCGGACAGGCCACATTTGTGCTCTGGTATGCAGTGCTGGATATTTGGTTACTCGGGTCTCCGCTTGGCGATTTGGAAGCTTCATCAGGCCATTGAGGCATGTCCAAGATGAAGACCAAAGCCAATTGTACGATTGAATCCACGTAGGACCGGATAAATGGGAAGAGAGATGAAGGATGGAGGTTGGCGGGAGAAACAAACCAAACAAGCATTAAATTGACTAGTGGGCGGAGGTGCAGTGCAGATCCCCGCCCAGGAGACAGAATCAGAATCGATGTAACCTTGGCTTTACCCACTCGTTCGCTTCAATTGTGCAATTATGCGAGTATCAACGTATGATGCATTATGTTTAACCGGCTGTCAACCCAATCCATCCATCCCAGACGCCATGCAATCGAATTTATTCCTGCAACATGGGTGAAAATACGGGCCTTATAAAAAATACAGAGGCAGAAGCCGAGCTCATCATAAACAGAAAAGAGAGAAATGTTGATACAATTGGAAGTGAGATACCGTCAGTCCACAACGCCTTAGCCCTCAACGGCCGTGGCCAAAGCCTGCTGCGCGAGCTTACGGTTTCGCTTCACCAGAGCATTGAGTTTCTTGTCAATCGTGTCCAGTTCCTTGCGCGACGACTCCAGATCCTTCTGCGATTTGACCGCGAAGGAGCGTAATTCTTCGGTCGTCATGCCCACCACATCGTCCAGGTCGGGAATACTACCCATGACAACGCCCGCTGCACCCAACATATGCTTAGCCGTGGCGGCAGCAAAGGAGCGTACCGAAGTGGCCGTTGCGTTCACCAGTTCGGCGGTGTTGGCAATGGCCCAATTGTGGCTTCGGGTGCTGTCCGCTTCCATGGCCGAGAGAACATTGGGCGGGGCAGGGATGCTTGACGAATTGATCACCTCGGGCGCGCCAGACAGAGATGCTGACGCGGACACAGCAGAAAGGGTAACCGAGTTCTCGTCCGCCCAGCAGATATTGAAGTTCTCCGGTGTGGCGAAGAGAGCATCGAGGCCACCGACGCGATTGGTCACATCTGGTTCCGTGATGGGAGCAGACGAGTATTCCTGAAATGATTCAA